TGTTGCGGCACTTCTGCGTGCTCGCGCGGGCCCTACACGATATTAGGCAGGTATACCAGTTTCTTTGGCTCTTCAGTGTATATAAGGATAATATATAATAAATGAAAAGAAATGAATATCAATAGTAATAAATAATTAAAATAGCAATAAATAATTAAAATACAACAAGCTGCAACTAAGCTTGTTTTAAAACAGACAATGAAATCGGTAAGAAACTTTTTGATTCGTAAAAAAATAATGTAAATTCGTGAAAATTATATATATATCAAATATATAAAAAATACTACTAAATACACCGTATAAAAATAAATTATTTAAAATTATCTAAATTAAAATCATTTTTTTAAATATTTAATGCAAAAAAAAGGGTCCAAAATACAAAAAATAAGTGGATTATCTTTGATAGCATTCCTTTAAAAGCTGAAACTTTATCAACAAGATTTATTTGCTTTTAGAAGGATTAGGAAAATGTGGATTAATCCTTTAGAGTGCATTTTTTGAAGTCACATTTACGTTTTATTCCACTTTAAATTAGCATAATCGCTCTTTAATATGCTTAAAAAGACATGCAACATTTTTAAAAGTTTGATAAAAAAATTCTTTTTTTTCCTTTTTTTGATGAAGTACTATAAAATGAAGATTAAGCAACAACATCAACTCTCTGCTGCTACAGATTAGTGAATACTAATTATAAAAATAGATCATAAATTGGTGATATTTCTTTACGATTTTTTTTTTATAAATTCGTAGGAATAAATATGTTTCCAAACTTTTTCTAATGCCCATTTAGAAAACTTTTATGAAGTCTCTTGAAATTAGTCTCTGGATAAAATTAAGCCTGAATTCTTTTTAAGTTGCTGACAAATTAAAGAAATTATATTGACTGAAGTAAACTAAATATCGATCTTTTAGTAAATAAACCGTAATTCATGTCATTTTTAGTTTTTTTTTTTTATTGTGATACTGTTTTATTTAAATTTTTCATTTTACTGTTCATTAAGGAGTGATATTTTGAAAATCTCCATGCGCTTTATTTAGTTAGGTATAAAATTAGGTTATTAATAAGCTGAAGTACAAGAAACTTTGTGTGGGGAATTGATCAAAAAAGAACAATATTTCTGTGTTAGACAATCTCAAAATTAGCAACAAATGTTAATATTAAATTAAAATCCTTCTTATGAGAAAATTTGTTCTTCTTGAGCTCACAATGTGCTATTTTTAAAACCTGTTATTGATTTGTTATAAGTTGTAAACCTGTCATAAGTTAATCCTATCTTTAGCCAGTGTCTTCTATGCAAATTATGAAAGTTTGGAAAATGTCAATATGATATTGGTGATCGCCCTATAGTGGTATTTGAAATATTATCTCCAGAGAAATGAATAAAATCGTTTAAGTAAAAATTTGATTTATTGAAGTAAGAATTAGTATATTTTAAAAAAATGACCATATCCAAAATATGCAAATCATGAAAAAAAGAAAATCCCTTAAAGGGATCAAGACAAAGCACTCTCCCACATCGAGAGTTTTTGTTTGCATAAATATATAAAACGATTGGGAGTGGGCTCCCCCAAGGGCACCCACAGTCACCACAAATTTGAAATTGCAAGTTATAGAATTCATTAATAAAGATAACCCCGCATAATCAATATTAGGTTTGAAAATATCTTGACGATCGCGTATCGCCGGCAAGACTGTGAGAATTATTATAACCATGTAACAGATAGATATTTGCAGTAAGAAGTAATTAATAATAAAGAATTATAAATAGGTTTTTGTTTTCGATTAGGCTTGACAGTGAATTAATGAATCTGCATTATTATTGAACTAAAAAGTTAGCCGTTACATTGATAGATAAGAAAAGAATAAAATATTTCATGCTCGCTTTTTATAAAAATTAACTAATTTATTTAATTAAATATAATTCAATTAAGAATGATTAAAAAAATAAGTTTTAGTAATTAAAGATATTTTATAAGGAAGGAAATATGTAATGCCAATTGTGGCATCACAGTCAACATGATGACGGCTTTGTTAAAATGGAAAGCTTTTGTGAAAAAAGAAAGATTTTAATGTTTAAAAAATTACTTGAACACTTATTTGTCATAGCTCATAAAAACTTACAAAAATTTAGACAGTTTTTCAACCTCTAGTGAAACATCAAAAGCACGGTAATTTTTATTGAAGCGATTTGGTAGTGACTTCGGTAAAATTAACAGTAAAATATAGTTTTATTACCATGGTACTTGGTAGTAAATGTGATAAGTTTAGAAATGTTATCATAACGCCTAAGATCAAGCTTTAACGATATTTTTATATTATTTTAGATATAAGTAAGCTGACTGACATTTTAAGATCACTTGCATATACAGCATTTAAGTTCAGATTAAATGCCACGTTCCCTTTTTGTTACTTATAGATTTCCCAATTTTCTCATTTGAATTTGGAAACTTTAATCATATCTTTAAAACAATTAAATTAATTTCTATGTGAAACTTAGACTTAAATCCCTACCGGTAAAAAAATGAATTCCGTAGACACTTTACTCTTTTTACAAAATAAATTTATTTTATGTTGATTAATTACACGAAAATGATAACGACAAGAGTTCGTATTAACTATTTGTTAAAACCACCATATAAACACCTCAAATCAGTGTACATTAACAAGCTTTATAAGACCCATTTAATGTTAGAAATTTCTCGGAAATAATAAATAAATAATATTTTTTTTACCATAATCAAGCAAAACAGTCCAATAACCCTAAATACGATGGTATTCAAACTATTAACTGTTAAAAAACTGTTTATTAGCTGCTTTCCCCTAATACGGTTAAACAACCAGAATTTTATTGCAACAACTAAACTTACCTAATGAAGCCACTTAGTTCCATGCAGCTGAGTACATATTGTAACCGAGAGGCCTTATCTGTCAGTCTCATGACAGCCAGAACGGGATTCAAAACCCAACGTTGACACCACAATATTTCCTCCATTCCCTTCACCACATGAAGAGTTATCAACATCCTGAACTCTTCAATTTGTGTTCTTCAATGCCTATTACTTTCAAAAACTTGCTAGTGGTAAATTGTTAAAAAAAAACGTATAGTTTTGTATTCGTGGTTTTAAAACCTTACTAGATGTAAAAGCATACTAGTTTAAATCACACTTAAACGTTTTATACCCATACTAGTTTCAGAACTGAAAAAGTAAAAATGTTCTTTACAGTAAATTTTACGGTTAATTTGATGGACTGACTGCTGCTGGTTATTTTACCATAATTTTAGAATGAAAAATCTACCAGTGTTCACTGCACAAATCGATTAATTTCCTTTCTTGAAATGTATGAAATTTAAATGTCAAAACTCTTGAATTTGTCACAGTGTTTTTTGTTTAGAATAAAGTTCCCAAATAATAAAAAGTAACTTCTCTAAACAGCATAAAAAACTTACAAAATTTATTTTTATTAATTTATTTATTTTAAGAAATTTTCGTAAAGAAATTTTAAAATATAATGTAATTAAGAAATAAATTTTTAATTTTATTAAGAAAAAATGATTAAGATGTATTAATTAATTAGAATTAATTTTAAGAAATAATTTTAAGAAAAGAAATAACGTAAATTTTTTTACTGCATTTTCCACTTTTTGTTTCGTGGATTAAATCCTTGAGTGCAGTAAAAGGCTTATACAATAGCCGTAAATTCTTGTTTTTATGGCCAAATGGCTGACTTGAGCATCGTTTCATTGGGTGTTGTTTTAGTTGAACATATCTTTGTTAATAATAACTGTTCTGGCTGATAATAACTGCCAAGGAACAACAGTTGCAGTCAGTTTGGAATGAAACATTTATATTTGTGATACATTTCAATATTCATGGAATCTAAAAATATGGGATGATTTTGATTGTGAGTTTATTAATAAGAAGTGGAAAAATATATGCGGAAATGATGTTTGTTTCTGTATAATTGTCTGTAAACGTGCTAACAGTTGTGTAAAGCAATGTATACATCAGATGATGTCTGGAATAATATCAAAACTTAATATACTTAATGCCGATTTTATAGCGGTTTTTGCCATCAAAATGCCAACTTTTCGAAAATTAAGTTTACCCACTCAAAAATAAAATATTACTATAATTTAAATTTTTTATGCAAGCTATAACTTGGGCCAGATAGCCTGGTAGGGCACTGGGCCCATGTCCAAGAGGTCGTGGGTTCGATCCCCTCTGGCCGAAGACTCCCCGTGTAGTAAATGGGGACTGATGCACGTTAAATCTGTCGAGTCGCAAACTTCTCTATGCTCCCATGAAAATCAATACCTTTTGTCTGTACTGATCCAGGGGTTTCCTTGTCTTCTGGATTGGTTCAAAATTACAAGGCTACCGAGTTGAACATTAGTAGTCCCAAAATTGGGTCGGCTGTTCAACGACGGATATAAAATAATATAAAAATAAAATAAGCTATAACTTCATTTCAACCAGCAAAAAATGGAAAAAAGGTTTGTAATACTTATGGTTAATCAAATCTGCAAGAAATCGTAACATGCATACCAGTTTTGAAAGAGTTCATATTTTTTAAAAAGCTGCAAATGAGTTCTCTTTGTAACACAATAAATAAAAACATAACACGTTATAGTCTAAAGTTATTTATTAAAAATGCCTTTGCGAATCATAAACAAATAAATAGGTTTGAAAATTTCCAGTGATTCAAATTATTGAGGCAATGCTTCATAAACTTAGTTCCATACGTTAAGAATTGCAGCATGTTAGAAAAATACTACCATTCGTAAATGCCTTCATTTTTTTATTAGAAGGAAATGAAAATTCTAAGAGTAATCGACAGTGATTTTTCTAAAATAACTTATGTTTTTATAATAAACAAAATATTTTGCGACATCTTGCGTAAAATTTGAATTAAAGTTTTGAATTGTATTTGAACGATCTGATCCAAAACTATTATATAATTCAAAAATCAGAATATTAAGAGTAGCATTTCTTTCTAGCTGAAAGATATAGAGTGAAAATACAGCCAACTGAAGCCAGTCTACGAAATGAGCTTTTTAGGGATTATGACTTATTGATAACAACAGTAAGTATAGCTCTTGAAGATGAAGATGGTCGTCTCGTTTTAAAATGGCCATACCGTCATATTCGTCGATATGGTTGCGCATTTGACAACTTTTCATTTGAAGCTGGCAGAAAATGTGATTCTGGAGAAGGTATATTTATTTTTGAAACAAACTCTGGCTCCCAAATTTTCAAAAAAGTAGACAGTCATGTTTCATCTTTTCAAAAAACTCAAGCTGAATCCCTAACCTTAAGAAGAAATGAACACAGAAGTTCTCTTCCATCTCCCACCGAAACACAAAATACTTATTTCAATACCCGGCCACCCGTTAAAAAACCTCCTCGTAAAAATAAATTAGACGCTCATTCCTTACCGAATTTCAATCGGTATGAGATCGAAAAATTTACCCAGAGTTCCTCATTTTCAGGAAATAGAGAGGCCATTAGGGATGCTGAAAGTGCAATAAAGTGCGCAAACAATCGTTACAATGTAAATTATTTGGAGGAAAGGCAACTGCCTGGAGAAAGTTACAATGAACCACATCTCTACGAAAATGCCCTTTTATTGGATACGGCACACACGAATCGAAAGCAAACTCTTGATCGTAGTTCCTCTGACAATCAAATAATAGAACCTTTTAATCTTGAACTTTTGCAAAACTCTTTAACAGATAAACTTCATCTGACAAGCATTGAACCACCTCATTATGTAAAAAACGACGTTGAATATGCTCGAATAGCAAAGAAAGAGTAAAAAGAATGTTTTAAGTACTGAATGTCGTTTAAGATAAAATCGGATTTGCCAGACTGGTATTTAGTAAGAAATGGAACAATGTAAAACCTTGTATAAACCAGAGTATTAGTTTTTTATTTCTTTTTCATGTTATAACTATAACTGCTCAGTGCGCCACCAAAAACAGACCACTTTGAATAACTTTTGATCTTATGATCGGATCTTCACGTTCTAAGATTCACTTTTAATTGCTCAAGGGGGTGACTTCAAATATGCTAATTAATAAGTGCTAACGATATTTTGAGTTACGCAATCACACACAAAAATATAAAATATAGGGGGTGGCTGCAATCTGGAAAATATGGTCCCGATAATTTGGTCAGTAGAGCTCTTCAAAGTTTGGATCCCTTAATGTTAATTTTACCTTTTGCGTATTTTGTTATATCTCGAGAGCTTTTTAAGCGAATTGAAAAATTTTCGCCCACAATTATATAATTAGTTTATCCAAAGATAATTCCGTGCAAAAAAATAACTTTTAGTAAATATTTATTATTTTTTATAATTTTATTTAAAAATTGTCGAAAAAATTTTGAATATTAAAGCATAGAATTTTTTTCACTATTTTTAAGTATATAATTTTATATGAAAAAATACAAAATTTGAGAAAAATCGGTTGAATAGTTATTGAGAAAGTAAATTTCAAATAAGTCGCATGCTTAAGACTCGATTTCTCAGGAACTATCCGTCCGATTTGGCTCAAATTTTGTATTTTGCCACATAAAATTAATTCTTTGAAATGATGAAAAGTTGCATACCTTACAATTCAATTTTTCTTACCATTCTTAAATGAAATAATAAAAAATAATAAGTATTTAAGTTATTTTTATAAGTAATTTTTTGCATGGACAATGCATTATAAGTTATATAATGCATTGTGGTACCATATGCATTATAAGCTATTTTTGCATGTAATTATCTTTGGATAAACGAATTTTATAATTGTGTGCAAAAAATTTCAATTCGCTTAAATAGTTCTCGAGATATAGCAAAAGTTAAAATTAACATTAAGGGGTCCAAACTTTGGAGAGCTCTCCTGGACAAACTATAGGGACCCTATTTCCCAAATTGCGGTTGCCCCCTATATTTTGAGGGTCAGAAATCCGTCTAAAAAAAGGCATTTTTATTCAGTAAAAGTGCATTCTTGTGTAAGATTTGGTAACTTTTATAATCACTATTAAATATCACTTATTAAATAGCATATTTGAGGTCACCCCCTCAAGCCATTAAGAATGAGTAATAGAACGTGAAAATCTGATCATTAGATAAAAATTTATTTGGGGTCTTCCACTTTTTTGCACACTGTACATTATTTGTTATTTTTTATGATGTGTATTTGTGTGATGCGTTTAATTTTGAAGACAATATTGTAATAAAACTAATACAATAAATTGTTCTAAAGGTAGTTAGCTAGTTTAATACAGGGGTATTTTTTATTGATATTATTTTCCTAAGTTTGTTAAATTCCTCGCTTAATTTTTACATAAATATCAAGAAAATAGTATTATATCTAAGCATGTCTATAGTAGAACAGATTTTGTTCCTTTTTCTATCATTCTTTTAGTTTTGCATGTTTATCTTATTTTATGCCACCTACGCAAAATCTATAATATAAATAACAAAGCTCTATCACAAATGTTTAAAACTGCTATTATCATATGCTATTGCATTTCTTGTATTTTATATATCTTATTACTAATTACTTGCTTTTGAACTATCTCTTGTATATAGGATTGTGGTGAATGGCTAAGACAAAACTAATTTTTTACTAATTTTAGAACATAGATAACGAATTTGTTTTATTCCATCCACCAATTGAAAAAATTTAAATTTCATGAAATAACTTAAAACGATGCATTGTATTTAAGGTTCCATATTTTAGTTTTCGCGAAGAAAAATAAGTATTGTACATAAACCATTATATCACGAAATCTATAAAATGACTATAATGGTACAGAATAGAACGTAGCAATTATATTGATAAAAATGACAAATTATAAGAAAATACATCTATAATCTACACAAAAACAATCATGGTAGGTTAAACATGAACATAGAATGTTGTATCAATTAATCTATAAAGAGTAAAATGGGAAAGAATTGAACATCGTTAGTAGATTGATAAAAATTACAAGATGTGAGAAACAAACAAGTAATCATAACAAGTAATCGAAAAAGTATAAAAACAAGCTAGTAATCAAAGCATTTAGGTCTTATACACACATGCAGATTTGTATTTCATCCCTAATTTGATGCTATGTAAAGATTTAAAAACTCTCCAAAAAAAATTACTATTTGCTTTAACACATCTGTATTAGGTAGTATGTTGTAATATTTACCATTTCATCAATAATATAACAAGAATTTTAGTTTAAGTTACTTTTTCGAAGTTTTGGAACAATTAGGATAAAGTATAGGCTTACCTACTCTAACGCACTGTTTGAATTAGCACTTCGTAATTTTGATTTAAGGCAATAACTGTTAATGCAGTTTTTCGAAGGCTCTGAACTCGAACATTTTCGAAAGGCAGCTAAAGCAATTTTTTGAAGGAAATGGGGACAGTATATGAAAATTTTTCTGCTGTACAATCATGTCAAATGACTGAGTGCAGAAAAGTGCCATGATAAATTCTTAGGGAAAGGAAACAATTCCCTGCATTCCTAAGCAAATTTGTTGCATCAGACAGTGCGCTACTGAAAAAAGAGCACCACAGTGACGATTCTTAAAAAAATTGGCATTCCTTACCAACTGTGCCAACAATGTGAAGAATTTAAAAATAATAATACTTTTAATTTCCTTAAATTTGCAGCTAACATCAATGAATCCCTTTCGGGGTTAAACAGTAGATTTAAGTATTTTCAATTACAGAAAATAGCATACTGCTTTTAATAATCTTGTTCAAGATAACATTTAGGATCAACCATTTCATTTGTAACTTGAACTGCATGAACTTCAAACTAATTTATTTTTCCAAATGTAGGAGTAAAATGGAACTGATTCCTTCAAACTGTTTTCCAAAGTTATCTTATTCTGAAATTTTGGCCGAAAACTCACATTAGTTTTTGATTGTTCATATCTAAAAAGTATTCTCTTTCATGAAAGAATTAAAATAATCAAGAATCACAGTAGAAGCCGTCTTATACATTCTTCTTTACTCCACCTCTTGAGACTCTCAACAACAGAACTTGAAGCAGAAATCCATTTTGTTGCGGATTGGAATCGACATACACAAATTTTTTTAATGAAAATTATGTGAGCAAATCCCACTTTAAGCTTTCGTTCAAATTTAAATATTTCTGCTCTTGATAGACATAAGCATGGTATTATTCTAATCAAGATTTATTTATTTGTTTTATGAAATTAAATGTGTTAAAATGCGTACTTCTTATTTAATTAGTAATTCAGTACTTGTTTTTGTGTAATTTAATTAAAAATTAAAAGTTATGCTTAAGATTCCTGCAGCCACAAAAAAAAATTGTATAAGACTCTGATTTAGTTGCGGCCAACAAGTGGATGTATGCAGGCCAAGGAGGAAGAATGGTTTTGTGTCCATTTTGCGCAAAAATTAAGAAAGGTTTTATTTACACTGGAAATCATTTGCTTATAGTTATGCTAATTGTTTTATTTTTTATCATTATTTATACCATGCAGCGCAGAAATTTTTCTGAAATTCCGAAGTAATTGCATCAAATCATGTAACTCAAAAATTGTTAGTGCCACGAATTTTCAATTAGTGAGTGTATTAATCTATTTAAGTGTAAATACCAAATCAAATTATGTAAGACACTAATGTTTTGAACTTAAGTAATTATTCGTTGTATTTTTTAAGTCGATGGATAATAAATCAAATTTTATTTGCCTAATTATTGTGGCGCCATCTGTTATCAAAAACAGAAGATATGTTGAAATCTTAAGAAGATAGCACTTGCAAGTAAAATAAATTATTTCAAATTAAACAATTCAGAAATGCTTTAATATACTCTTAAAATGCTTAAATACTTTTCTATTTCTAAGATAGAAGAGTATGTATAGAAATATTTTTGAAAGCATGTATCATTTCTGAAATATAAAAATAACTTGCGCTGTGAGAGAATAATAAAATTCTGTACAATGAATAACGTTATAAAACCAATAAGAAAAAACTACACAAGATGTTCAAAACTTTTATTGAAGAAAAGAAATAAACACTTATATATAGATCTACCGTTCAAAGTTTCAATATTAGGAAAGATATTTTTTTTTATTTCATACTGCATTATTCATACATAATCAAGCATAACATGCAGTTAAGTTTTAAAATAAAAGCATTTACATCAATACAGTAGTGTAGTACAAAGTTCTATGGTGCAAAAAATATATTCGTCTCATTTCTATGATATATCAGTTTACCAATTTATAAAATAAATTTGGGGGGAAATCTCAATCAAAACAACAGATATCACTTTTCGCTCTAATAATGATACAAAATCAAAAATAACAGGATTATTTATTATTATAGTAATGTTTTTATCAACATTCAATAAGAAGAAAATAATTTGTATGCTGAATTTGTCGTAGTTTTCTTATAAAATAATGCAGTAAACTATTAGAAAATAGAGCTCTCATGTCGAACTATTGATGTATAAAACAATAAATATACACATAGAAGTGCCTTTTCTGATGTTTATACTAATTTTTCTATAGTTCTTTACTAATATTTGATGGTACTTGTATGTGTAAATAAATACTTGTGATATTTATTGGCAGGGTCAAAGTGCAAAATTGGTCGAGTGATTTCAATAAAAACACACACACACTATTCTTCACAGGAAAATAATTTCTCACTAAGCCTAATTCACTTATATGCATTAAGTTTGAATTTTTATACAGTAAATTGCTTAAAATTGAATATAATTCATTATTTAAATACAAATGAAAAGATCACTTAATAATCATTTTCAACAGTCTGATTCTTGTTAAAAGCAATAAGTTTCGCCAGGAGAAACAGAGTAAGAATGACGTCAGTTTTTAAAGATTTTCAAGTTTGCGTCATTATTACGTATATTTTTCTGGAGAAATTTATCACCCGGTACTAGAATTGGACTGTTTTCCTCAGAACAAAATCAGCAGAAGAAATGAATAAAAGTAAAAATCTAAATTCGTCCTTTTGCATCAGAAACGACTTTACATATACATCATTTTTTGTCAGAATCGCTATGGCCTTTAAATAAAGTTTTTAAGGATAAAGAAAAAATTTATAGTTTAACACATGAATATAATAAGAAATATTTTAATGAATGCGAAAAAAATAAGCTTTTCAATGCAAAAAAAAATAGTAACAAGTTCATAAAGCATTATAACATGTTCTTAAAATAAGATTTTTTGATATATCCCACAACATGTTCCTTTACTTAGCTCTTTAAGTTAAAATGAGATATTAATAAGATATATAAATAAGATAGATATAAAAAAGAAAAATACGATACATATTTCGATTCTACAAAAGAACGTTTGGATTTCCACTCTTCTTCAACCAGCCGATTCAATTATTAACTTTAATAATAAGTAACTAAAATTATTTGCATTGAACTAAAATTTCTCTGTTATTAGCTCTTTTCGCTATTATTGCAACCATAAATATTGCTTAAGTACCAGCTCAAATATAAGGATATGTGTAGAAATTATTTTTTAATTTAGCACAAAAAATATTGAGAAGAAAAAATTATAAAATGATTATATTCAGGATTATAATTATCGGATTACTACTTCTCCAATAATAAAAATTAAAATTTTTGCAATAACTGATATGTCATTAAAATAGAATTATTTTCATAGTGATCATTTTTACAATGAATGTGTTAGGAAGAAAAAGCAAATGAAGATATGATTATGTATTTATTTGGCAAGTTTGTGCTTGTACATTGACGCTTAATAAATGCTAATTTATTTACTAGTTTTCGTTTTATTTTATTACTCTATTTGTTTCATTGCTCTATTGCTAGAAGGTAAAAAAAGTTCTCTTCCTTCACAGCCTTAAAATATTAACACAAGTGTCGTGAAAAAGTATCTAGGAACAGTGCAGGTGAAAGCAATACTTCGATGTTTAAAGCTCACCAATGAAAATAACTTATATAGTGCTCATAGGAAATATTTATGCGGAAGAAAAGCATATAATTACATCTAAAACCAGCTTCCCCGAATCAATAACAAAACTTCATTCATTTAAAATGTTTAAAATAAAAATTAAAGGCTAACTTTGCTTGGTACTAGTTTTTTACTAATTTTAAGTGATATTTATTTTTGGAGAATGTTTAAAGTCTAAAATAGCTACTAATAATCTTGCAATATCATGGATACTAATTTCATATTAAGATTATTTACTAAGAAAAGAGAATATTGTGAAGAACAATAGCAAATGTTTTCTTCACGAAACAATATTATTTTTATGAATTATAATTACATAATTTCTTAATACCCAACATTAATTTGAGTTAGTCATTATAAAATGTTTGCTTCCTGTCTCTGAAGCTACAATTAAAGTTAGTTCGAATTATGCTACTATTCAAATTTTTGTAACTTTAGTTAGATGTTAATTTCCAGCTTTTATGATATAGTTAAACCAGAATGTGATAGTGTAAGGTCTATTTTAAACACCTAACCAGAGTTATAGTAAATTAGTATGATAAATTAGAAATAGAGTAATTTTATAAGTAAATTTTGTTAATTGAGTTGTCAAAACCAAAACGCACTCAGTAGTTTTGACAAAAAAATTTAGATCGTATATATAATATGCTAGTTCTTCATAGTTTTGATAGACAGTTTTAAACGTTATTTTTTCAGTTTAAGAAAAAGTAGTGTCCGGTTTGTAAAGTTTGAAAATAATATTTTGGGGCATAAATAACTATTCCGTTTCCTGTTACAGGAGTGTCCATTTTTCGGAGAGGACACAGAATGGTTTTTTCATGGAAGATTCACGTGGAATTAAAAAACTGTCCGTAGTGAGAGGTATCCGTTTTTTATGAATGTCCGTAACGAGAGGTTTCACTGTATTTCTTTATGATCATCGCATCTTCCGTCTGACTCATAACATTTGCATTCGAAGGAATTTTCTATAAATTTTAGTTTTAAAACGTAAGACGTAAACAAAGTATAAAACCCATAACAGTACACCAAAAAATACATACCATTATTTTTTTTAACTATTTCAAAATTTAAAGACAATAGGTTTAAAATAACTTTGGGGTTTCAAGAAATTATGTAAGAGATATTCCGTGCACTATATAAAAGAATGCTATTAATTGAATTTATTTTGAAATGTTGTTCTCCATTATTCCTTTAAATAACTAAACTTTTCTTCGTAAATAAAAAAAAATTTCAGCTTTACTTAAATGATGTCTACTTTTGAAGCTCGTTTAGAAAGCTCAAGTTACTTACCAAGGAGAAGGTGGCAGGAACTTTTTCTTATTCCTTTAATATAAAATGGAAGCTCGATTTAAAAGGAAACAAATCTTTTTCCTAAACTTAACCAAGCAAATAAACTTAGATTGCACGTAGCCATTTTCATAAACATTCTATACACATAAACACCCATTTTGAGTATTCAAGTAATAATATAAAGTTGAATATATAGCAATATAAATATATATAAGTGAATGCAAGTGCAAGGTGTTATATGAAGTAAGAAAAAGTGTTTCAATACAAAGAAAATTACTAAGATTGTTACAACCAATATATTACAAAAGTACCATTTATAGATAAAATTGCGTATCATTCCACACATTATAATTTTTATTTACAATCAAAAATAGCATCACAAGGTTTTGCATTTCTCTATCAACAGTTTTCATAAAACTAAAAGTGCTTTAAATCAATTATCACGCCATACATATATCGGCTTTTCACAATTAATTTAAAATTGGAATATCTACGTTGTAAAATCGAAGCCTCGTATCAACAAAAAATTATTTTTTACATTACTTGCATTAAATAAATACTTGTATTCAATTAATTATATTTTTTGATACTAAGCAGACAATGCTGACAATGGAATTTTATCTTCCAAAAATGATCAACATAATTCATAAATATTAAAAAACTGTTTCAAAAATAATTATAAAAATTAATTAATAATTACTAATTCAAGAATTATATATAAATTCATTATTAAAATTATTAATTAATTCATTATAAATAATCCAAAAATGAATGTATGTTATACGTATATGTTAAATAATATAAAATAAACCAAAATATTCAAAAAATGATATGCAAGAAACAGAAATGATAAAACTATTCTAAGATTTTTCTACATATTCCAGAAATAATCTAATTATTTATTCAAGACCTTTTGTATTCTAAGAATTAACTAGTTGGTAACTAAGTTCGTAAAATCGAATAAAGCACTTAGTGTGGTACATTTTTCTAGACTAGTAAAAACGCACGTATGAATTATTTCTGCACTGTAAAAAATTTCGGATCAAATTACAGTAAAAAAGGGCACTCAGTGTGCCAGTACTTTTTATCGTAAAAACTATTTTCAACGGAACATGTTGCGGAGCAAAATATCTGATATACCATAATTGTTGCAGTAATAATTATTCCAAAATCATTCAATCACTCTAATAAATAAATATTACTGTAATAATTACGGTATAATATTCTACGGTGAAAATGGATTTTGCGGATGATACATCTCAAGTGCCAGTACTTTAAACCTAACTGGATCCAAAAATTTTTACAGTTTGTTTACTTTTATAGGCAACATATTAATCATAATCGCTAAATTCCAAGATTCAATAGTGTATATGAATCGATGTGATTTTTGAAGAAAAAAAATTATATGCTAACTAAGACAAAATTTTTGGACTAATAAATTAAATACTTTGTAACATTTTGTTGTAACTTCATAATATATTTCAAAATACCAAAATCTATAGAGTTAACTTTTTCCTTTTTTTTTATTCTCCTAAATTATAAATTTTTTTATTAAATCGCACTTGAAATGATGTTTGTTTTTAAATGCAAAATAGGAAGAATTGGATAAATAAAAAAATGCCAAAATAGAAATTAATATGTGTTTGGAAAAATTAAAAACGATTTAAGGAAAGGTTAATATTAAAATTTTCGTGAAATTTTAATTGGCAGTGATTTGGTTCAACTGACATTTATCTTAATAAATTTATTTTTGTTCGGATGATACTTAAATTGTCTAATTAATATGAAGTTGTTAATATAAAACACTCAATATAAGCTTGTAAAATTTTAAAATTTATGCATGACATACTCATATTACACATACAAGAAGATATAAAAGCTATGGCTAAAAATCTAATAGCCAAAAATAGCAGGGTGTAAGGCTGGGGAGACCCTTCTTTCGCTCTTTTTCATTGAAACTATTTATTTCACGCCTAATCTATAGTACCGTTGCATATTCTTAAAAGTTATTTTAGGAACAAATTCGCAAGTATTAAATACATACTTCAAAAATTAAATTTAAAAAAATCAAAACATTTCAGAGAATATCAAGAATCTGAGAAGATTTAAAATAAAGAATTTCTGATTAATAACATTTCTTACATTACTTTTTTACTTTTAGAATACAATAGAATTGAATTACAAACATTACGTAATTTTTATTAAAAGCATAAATTTGAAAGAAATCTCTATTGTCATTTAAAGCCATTCAGGAGTGGGATTCATAGTTGTTAAGATCACTAATTAGTAATGATTGTTTTTCATTAACAATCATGTATATAAATGAATGAAAATTATTTTATTACTTTTTTAATTTACTTTTCAATCTTATAACAATTTTTTATCTGTATCTGCATATAGTACTCTAAATACTCTAAAATGTATAATTTAATTTGAATAGTCTTTCTCTGCTTACGAAAGTAAATAAGAAGAAAGGAACTGACAAAACTATTCACCACTATATATTTATAACAGCATTATCAATTAATTTGGCATTATGAAGTATTGATATTGCATTCAGATCTAAGGACAGCGTTTCTTCAGAAATATTTTTATATACATTGCCCTTTTTAACGATTACTGGGTGTTCTCTAATCATCTCTTCATACATTTTAAAATCCTCATCTGAAAAATAAAATAAAAACAAAAAAGGGCTGAAATTTTAACTGTAACAGTACTTCTTCAATGGATAAGTTTCTCGAAATAATCCTGTTAAAGTATGAAGAGTTTAGACAATATTGTGATACGACACATTTTTCCCAAAGGGGGTATTTTTTTCAACTAAATGTTCCTCAGTGTTGTTTCTAAATAATTATTTTATAAGTTTCCAAAATTTCTACTGGATGACAGCATAAAATATGAAGACATATTTCCCATGTTGGTTTTTTTTTAATATTGCTTAGCATTATGTTACCCTAGTCCAGTTATATGTACTATGATCAGTTCTTGAACATAGAAATAAAGGTATTTTCCAATTTAACTTCAATTTAGCTGAGAGGAACTTATGTGCTTAGTTTAAGATTGATAGCTAAATATTTAAAATTCCAGCCAAATTTTTATAACATTATTTTTTTCCTATTTCAAGTATGCAAAAATATCTTTTTAGATATTACATTGCCTCATACAGTGAGTATCTTCTTTAATGTCTTGTCAAACTAAGAAAAAAAACATTTGAATATTTTTCTTTCCTTGAAATTTTTAACGTAAGAGACAAGGTTTTAAAATATATGAACGAATAGCATTAAGAGAACACTTAGAAAAAGAGAAAATTATTGTGAAATAAAAATTAAACACTAAATTATCAGAACGTCTTCAGATAGGTTTATATGTAATTTTGTTCAGTTGATTCAAACTGAAACTTTGATTTAGAATTCTTTGCATATTTTAGTAATTAAAAAAAATTAGACAAATTAAAAGACTATGATATTAAAATTGAGTACAATATTTATTAAATTATTTTAATTGAAAAATTTTTCAAATAAATTCACTCGTGAAGGCATTATTTGCCTTTATAATCCACGATAGCTTAGAATATTAACGATATAAGTTTCTTAATACTAATGAATTGCAAATGAAAAGTACAATAATCAGTTAAAATATAATAATCAGTTCGGAGTTTTTCCTTTCTTTCTAATGAGATGAGCTTAAATAAATGCTTTTATTTGGTATTGTAATGGAAAAAATTTCTCCGCAATCACCCTTTCGAAACAGCAATTAGTAAGAGCAACTTTATCTTAAGAACAGAATATTGCAGAATTAGTTATTTTTAGATTAAAAGATACATTAATAGGATGATTCTAAAAAGATGCACATGCACCAATACAGACTCAATGTGTAAGAACATATTAATGGATACAAATGCATTCATGAAGAATGCATATGCATTCATCATGATATCATGCAATCATGTGAGACACCATGAAAGTTGAAAGGCCATTTAGATGTATAAAAGTGTGTGTTGAATGTACATTACAATAGTGATTTCTAGAAGCATGAAAAGGCAGTTGTAGAATGATTAAAAACCCGTTAGTGAAATCGTTGGAAATAATGAAAAACCATCGGCATAGCCGAAATATTTCTTATCACAATGATATCAAGGAATGTTGATTGAAAAAATACTCTTTATAACCTTACTAGAAAAGTATGATACTTAAAAATCCCTTTTTTCATAGATCACAATGCTCAATGTATATTGAGTTTTAAAATGCCCAAATATAGTTTTAAGAAGGCAGTACTTCAGTTTTGCTGTAAAAGTAGCTGTTCCAGTTCATCAGCTGACCGTAGAAGAAATGCTGCTGATTCTCGATAGCCAGCTATTAACTGTTTAACAGCAGTGATTTCGGATGAGTTTAGGCTATGTTTTATGCCACTGACGCTTTTCTTCATGCTAAGATCAGTTGGTCCTGAAATTTCACGTGCTTTGGTTAAAATTAAAAACAGAAAGTAAGTCAAATGTAAATAATTTAAACAAGTTAAGTCATATACATTCATTTTTTTAAAAAAATCGCAATAAAGACCAATATATTATATTTTATAAAAAAAAATTATTACATAATTGTTCATCCATAAAAAAGGCAGTTAGTGCATTAAATGAGAAACTCGCAAGAAAACTATTACAGTAGCTTCAAAGTTATTTACAAACTTAATTGACAAACGGCCAATGCGGTATCAGTACAGACATCAGTATTAGTACAGAGTCTCGGCTGTTTAGTACCCTGAAGATTGGATTTTAAGCAAAAGCAATACATCGACAGAAATTGTAACATAGCTTATGTGGAGGTTGGATTTTGAAATTTTGAGCCATTTTATTGAGAAAACGTTTTAAAAAGAAAAAACTTTAACGTGTAATATAAATAATATGACGAAAGGAATAAAATGGCTGATCCATCTGAGTCTGAGCACAAAAACAGATCTGAAGATGGAGCTGTTGCAACACCTCTTAGGGAAGAGAAGGCGGTTCAATTAAGTAGTCCGACGTAACTAACATTAACTGCTGTGGGGAAATAAGAAATATGTCACAACGTTCGGACTACTAAAGCTTCGGATTTTTCGATTATGGGAACCCCTGCGTAGGCTTTTTCCCATCTAGGAAGTGTTAGCTAGTGGCGCTGCTGTACTGAACTGCCAGTGTTTCCTTGCACTTCAATAAAAATTAAATTTTTTTATGCATTAGGGTACTGAAACTATTACAGAAAATGAGATATTATGTTTAATATTATGTTATAAGTCTCATGCTTTATTATTCTAAGCTTTGTAAATCAAAGTATATTAAAACTAAGCACACAGGAATTTTTAAATGCGTTAAATATGTAGGAAAGCAGAAAGCTCAAAACCTAATAACGTAGTTTCGGATCTCATAAAAATTCTTAAAAATAAACTACGGACTCAATTTGTAACAAATTTAAAATCTGAATATATTTTTGCTGTTGATAAATTGAAATAATTTGAAAACAATAAACGCTTAGACAAAGAAAATACATTTCATTTCTGATTTCGTACCTATTGAACTACTCAAATTTAAATATTTAATCTGTAACATCTACAGTAATAAATTTTTATCTACCGATCGGTCTCTAATAACATGAAGATTTTAATTCAGCAAGTGAAATGTTAATAAATCAAAAGTTATACATCAGGTTGTTGATTTTTTTTTTTTTACTTTACTTTCGACTTTATGTAGATTATGACAAATTTCGGCATCCATAGTAAGAAATAAAATTTTTCACTCTACACTCACCGTTGTTGGTATTAGTAACAGAGCTTGCATGGCCGTTGACAGCAACAAATCGATAATTAGATGAATATGCTGAAGACCCATTTAGTAAACTGGAAGATTTGCCATGGCGCAACGTATTTTGTAAAATATTTGTCTCAGGTTGAGGACTACGTGATGGTTCAGACTTCATATTCTCTACTTCAGCCTAATAAAGAACAATTTATCTTTATGGGCGTTATAAAAGTTGTGAGAACTCATTAGCATTATAATGCTGAATAAATTAAAATTTAAAGTGAACTGAAAAACCTAAGATTATTTCTGGGTAAATTTAAGACCAGAGGTTTACATTTGTGCATCCCGCACTGAGAAAAAGTATGGTCAAAACTACCAGAATATGATAAGATTCACCGTGTTTCCGGCTCTATGGGAACACCAAAAAGATCAGTAATTTTTACCGAAGTGCTTTGGTAATGATTTTGATAAAAATAACAGTTAAATATGGTTTTATAGTATATGATAAAATTTAGAAAATAATGTACAATTTGATGCATCATAATTTGATACTTCATAATGATATTTATGATGATAATGATAGTACTGGGCATAAAGCTCATTTATTCTGTTAAATTTACTTTTTAGTTTTGTATTTTTTACTGTCTGATAATAAGAACTATAATTTTAAGTTCTAGAATTTCCGGTAAAACTTTACCTATATGAGAAGAGAAATTACCAAATGAATGGTTTAAATGACTTATATTTTGGTTTTATTAACCAGAATTATATTCTTTTAACTAGAAACGTCATTACCATAGAGTACGGTAATTTTAACTGAATTTTTTTTTCTCCGAGAGCCCTATGCAGCCTACGCGCAGTGTAATAATTTTTATAGTTTGCTTCTAATTTAATTTTATAAAATCAATTTCAAAGTTTTCATCCTAATATAATCGAATTTATTCCTGGCTGATATGAATTCTTTAAAGCATGCACATTTTCGAAAATTTATCTAGCACTTAAATTAATTTCCCAAGCTTATTAGAAATATTTCACGACAGAAAATGTTAAAAGACTTTTATGCTGAACATTATACATTTGAAAATTTAGCATGGAATTTAGATAAAGAGGCAAGCAAAAATTTATATTAATTTCAATTTTTGGCAGTAACGAAATTTTGGTTAGTGACGAAATTGGATTAAGACAAAACATATAAAGACGAAAATTTGTCAAACTGTAACTAATGATAATTTATTGTATCACAAATAAAATTTGGAATGCATTTTAATAAATCATAAAGTTTGCAAATCATTTTATCTCATTTGAAATTATAAATGCATTTTTAATTTTAGTTTTATGAGCTTACAGTTCTTAGTCATAGCTGTAAATCAATAGAATTTTATAGAATAAAATTGATTGAATGAAATAACAATGTCTCTGAAACTTGTAAATAATAAATTTCATCTTAATAGTTTTCAAATAACTATTCTAAGAAAATTTAGCAATCAATGATTCATTGAATAAATCTATTTAGAAGTTCATTGGATTTTCACAAAACACTTTTTAATCTTGGGCTCTCAAAGAAAGACTCAATGGGGAAAAAACGCCGAAACATAATATTTTTACATAATTTAATAGTACGTACAATCGATAATATTTTCATAAAAGTATACATATCATTAAACTGCAACGTACAGGTGTTTCATTATCATCATTTTTAACCCTTCACCCCATACTTTCTAAAAGTGAATAACAATTATTGTTTTTGTAAGAATAATTGGTCTAGGAATTCAAGAAATGTACTTAAAAATCTAGTTATAGTTTCTAAGGGAGGAAGGATATGTTTTTTGCCACTTTATGTATCTACAAAACTGTACAATATTATAAATACCCAACGTAAATATATCAACTATAGAATTGGTCTAGGAATTCAAGAAATATACTGAAAAATCTAGTTATAGTTTTTGAGGGAGAATGGACATGTTTTTTGTCACTTTATGTATCTGCAAAACTGCGTTTACAATATTATAAATGCCCAACGTAAATATATCAACTATAGAATCTTTTCAAAGAAAAAAACAGAAATCATCAAAAAATTAAATAAAAAGTGAAATATAAGAAATAAATTGACTGAAGCATTTAATTGCAATAATAACGGCAGATTCAGTTAAGCTTATAAAAAGCTTTAGCAGGCTTTTAAGGAGGAGGTTATGCGCCGCACACAAGTTTTCGAGTAGTTTTGCCAACTTTAAGATAGTTCGGTGAGGTAGTTAAGGTAGTTAGATGAGTGCTGAACGTCATGCTCCCTTTGTGGGCCCTATCCATGTCTCGAAAATTTGAAAACTTTAAAAAAAAAATTGCCAAAAAATCAACAAGGATTGTTGTTTTAAGATGCAATAAATTTCAGAAGAGACGGGCATGAGCTGGAGCACGTGCAACAGATTAAGGATTTTCAAATGAGATGCTCTCGCCCACACGACCTTACAAATGACCTAGTATTTTGTCTCTCAAGGATAACCTCTCTTACACATCCTCCGTAATCGCTAGACTTAGCCCCGTACGGCTTTTTCTTGTCTCCAAGAAGGAAATAAAATTCAAAAAAGAAACTTTTTGATGATGTGAGAGAGCAGTAAAAACAGAATGGGTACTGGACGATACAAAAGTTGAAGAGTTGACTGATCTTCCAGCAAACTCCATCAAACAGTGGAAAAAATACTTGACAAGGAGAGTACTTTAGAGAGTACTTCTAATGGAGAGTACTTTGAAGGTGTCTAAAGGAATTTTATAAGAAAGCTAATAAAGAAATCTTTATAAAACAAATCCGGGGGGGGTCCCTCTTCGTATTTTCAGAGATTCCTTCGACCTCTACCTGTGACATTTTGTGTAAATTTCGAAAAAAAGCCATTGCAGAGTAATTACAATGTTTTCATTTTATAAAATTATCATTTTCGGCAAATTTCGGCAATTATTTGTAATAATTAGCAACAAATGCTTGGCAGAAAATAAATTTTGCTTGACCGAAAATAAATAAACTTTTTTATACACTTGCCTCGATGATTTTAATGCGCTTCGGGGATCTTTTTTCTTTTCAGTTGCACATTCCTTTTAATTTTCTAAATTTTTCTTTTTCCTTTCTTTGTTTATTAAAATATTTTTATTACAATCAGGAAATCATTAAAAAAAACCTATTTTGAATTATACCTTGCTTGTTCTATATTCTAATTTATTTCAACAGCCCGTGCTAATCTTATAGAAATTAATTCTAGGTCAAATTAGCTGAAAATTTTAAATGTTGTAGTTCAAAACATTCTGATCAAAAGTTTTCATTGATACAAAGTCCAAAAAGGGATAACATAACCTCAAACATAAGAGATATGGGCAGTAACGGTCAATGTGGTGAAAGACTCTTGAACGAGCTTGTCCGCAACATGGCTTGGGTGGATGTGAAGAAGTAGTGCTAGTTACTCATTTAGCTGGTTAATGCTAGCCACTCATTCATTAAGGCTATAACATGTGCAAAATCTGTGGTGCAAACTCGACGTGGTGCACATTGGTTAATGCTAATGTCGTGATTATTGGAGGAATGAGAATTATTATTTATGTCTAAGACTTCGTATTTCGAAAAAAACAATAAATTTTTGGATATACTGTCAAAGAAAGCTTTTCGTCAAATTGTTTTAAACTACAAGATGCTAAATGTTTAGAAAATTTGATAGACTTAATTTCCATAAGACTTATGCGGGTTCCTTTAATTATAAACTTATTTTAATTTGAAACTTTCTGCATGAAATTCAATTTCGATGAAATTATTTATTCCCACTTCAACAAAATTAACTACCCTAATATTCAATGGTAACAATCTACATTATTGCAATACAATAGGATTAAATAAAAGATATATGATGTAAAATATGAATTTTATATCATTTCAATAAATTTTAAAGAGTTAGGGAGGATTAAATGAATAGGATTAAATGAATAAAATCACATAGTTAAACAAGTCAAATTACTGATAAGGGTTTGAGTCCTAGTCGCATTCTTTTAGCATTTTGACTCTCATTCTCACACGCATTTGCCAATATCTGTTCTGCAAGAGCTGATGTTAAGTGGGGTTGTGTATTCCGACCCTATAACAAATTTTCACATTTAGTTTGAAAAACAAACTTAATAATCATTCTATCAGATGCTTTTAAACTAATAAACTTTAAATATAAAGAATAAAAGCGACTTACAAACAGTATAAAAAAGCACAAAAATAAACAAACATTTGCATTTATACTGTATATACATTCTAAACAGGGCTTTCAGTGCTTTATCAAAATTATTATAGTGGTATATAAACTTTTGTCATAAAATTTATTTCATATTTTTAAAATTTTGTCATGTTATAAGTTAATCACCACAATATTTCCCTAATTTAAATAGAAACACACATGTATGTTATGTATAGATGAAGATTTACGACATTTGACAAGTGGCTTCTGATCCAGGTGCTTTGATCCAACACCACTATAACAATTTTGAGGCACCACTGGACGCATGTTTGTCCAGAGTGTCCCTTGTCCAGAATGTATAGACAGAGTATCCCTTAGATGAGTCAAAGACCATCCTTAATTTGTATTTTCAGAATTCTTATCGAAACTAGGACTACAAAATATACACATGAAGGAGGTGCACATTAATAATTGAAGGAGGAAAATAAAACGCTACCGAAATTTGGAAAGTTAAAGTAGAGGAAGGTGAATGTAAGTAACATCTAAAAAAGTTAAACTGGTTGATGAAAATTGAAGGTATTTCCAATTATCCTCTTTGAACTCCTATCAGTTTCCTCCCGTAATCAAGCATATATTGTTTATTGCGTCTGCCTTCCTGTACTGTAATTTGTCAGATTTCGATAGCCTTTTATTTTCGTCAATTAAACACTAATTTGAGACCCCTAATGAGTACTTTCTTTTGTTTTCATTATTTAGTAAGGATTCTAAAAATACATATTAATATCAATAATATAAGAGAATAATATTCATTATGAAAAACCTGGTATGCGTGTAACATATATGAGCTATTCATTTGTAAAACTTGTTAGGCATCAACTAGATTTTTACTTTCTAGGTTACGTGAAAACAACTTCCGTTACAGACTTAAAACATGGACAATAAACTGTTCTGTATTTTTTACAGGTACTGAAAATAACTTTATGTTAGAGAAATAATTGTTTTCTCAAATTGAAAAGATCTGGATGGTGTGGCACTGATTATAAGGAGTTTTTATAGAAAATCTTAAGTATTCTTCCTATTGCTTCTTCAGTATTCATTTCAGTAAAAGGATGCAACCTTATTTTTCATAGACATTCTCTTATGGTATTTATATGTAAGATGATGTTATCTAGAGTTCATGGCAGTGCTGCGAGCAAAACTCATTTCAAAATTAATCAAACAAACATTTCTTGGAAAATTATATTACTTGCACATTTGCAAAAAGATGTATAAATCAAGGTAATTTCCAATATTAAAGCGGTTTTCTGGTCTAGAGGTCCCATTTCAGTCTCATTTTTATAATTTTTTTTCGGTGAAGTGAAAAAATAAGCTATGTAATGATTACCTAGTTTTATTTCGTCATCTTTCAGAAAACGACGGCAAAGGTGGCAGAGCACGCCGAGCACTGATAGATGAGCGTAACTCGATTTTCATACTGTATAATCTCAAACAGGCGAGGCAAAAAATTAACCATTATGAATGTAGCTATAGCTAAAACCAAAAAGTCTGTAAATGGTCATTTTCTTACAAAATGGAGGCCATATGAAAACAAATAACAAAAATCGAATGTCATTTAAACGTACATAAAAAATTTTAATGTTGGAAAAGGTTCCATTCTTGCTGGTTCCATCAATTCTCTACAAGTTTCCAAAACAACATCAAACTAATTAACCTGGAGCATTTTTTTGAGTTCCCTGGCAGTAAATCTGACCCCGATCCATCCTCCCGGACCGTAAATCTGGCTTCTTTGCTGGAAGTAGACGAGCTGTGCTCCGAGCGTTCAAGGCGATCTGCGCCTTGAACGCTGTGACGTTTGCAAAACTCGAATGTCGTGTTGCCAACTCGAATATCCATGACATCCATCATGCGGGCAATCACCTTGAAACCGTGATTGAGGATCACCGTAGCCAAATAATTGGTAATTTTGACCATATGTTTCCGTAAAGAACATCCAAATAAACGAATTTAACGATTAGTTGTTGTTTTGACTGTTCACGCCAACACATCTTTTCAATAATTTGTCATATAGCAAGTTTTCGTATATGAAGTTGATTGCCTCCTGCCCTGATTGCCGTGAGCCTTCGACGACACGGAATGGCCGATCCGATGATCGCATTTTTCAACTAAATGAGTTTCTGGACAAAATGGTTTAGCCCACAGGAACTTCATAGTATAAGGTGTCGAAATACTAAATAGACAATTCGTTTTTTTTTCTTCACGCTTCTAGACCTGAAAACTCTCTTAAGTTCTTAAAAAGTTTATGCTTGTAAATAATGTACCGATCACTGCAAGTTCAAAAACTTGAACAAAATAGTAAATTGGAATTCTACTTACTATTTCCCAATTAGTGTTTTCTCTTGTTCTTTTATTTCTTCTACAAGATTTTAGATATGTTCGAATCCTTTTTCTTGCTCTCTCACCAAACTCTGGAAACTGTCTTGAACAAGAATCTATAATAGCTTGTATTTTATCTTTAGGTTGACGAGAAATAGGAACCATTCTGTCCAGGTTTTCATCCACAAACAGTCGAACAAACATCTAAATCAAAAGTAAAATTTTTTTTTCAAACCACAAAGGCAAAACATTACGCATAACATACTCAATAACTTCTAAAATAACAGTCACACGTATACCCCACGCACTTTCACGTACTAAAATATATTACATATAAGTGAAGCCTATTTGAGAAACACTGTAAGAAATTCCGGATTAAATTACGGTAAGAAAAGTACATTGTAAAAAAGACGGAAAAAATTACGATAAAAAGTACTGTAAAAATTATGGTAAAAAGTATTGTAAAAATTACGGTAAAAAGTACCGATACTCAAAATTGCCGTAATTTTTTCAGTAATATTTACCGTAATTAAGTAAAACTTACCGCAAAATCACTGAATCATTCTAATTAAATAAATATTACTGTAAAATTTACAGTATAATATTTTCTGGCAAAAATGGATTTTTCGGTCAAATTGATTTTACCGGTACTTTAATCCGGTATTTTGAGTTTTCCAGAATTTTTTACAGTATATTTTGCTTTATTACAGTTAAATAAGGCTTAAATTGCAAATGATCGATGAAAACTTATTTTCTCTGAATAAACAATTTTTTTGATAGATTCAGAATATTGGCCATCAACGCGTGGTGGTTTCTTGCAATGGGTTCGAATAATTTATTCAGAAAAGCTCTTAAGCGCTCCCAATGTAAATTCTACTTTTTGCATTTTTCATTATAGCTCTAGAATCGCAACGAGAGTACGAAGCAGCTGCATACAATTATAAAACTCATTTATTATTGTGTTATTTTAGGCAAAATTTAATTTTCATTTGTTTTAATTAATAACAGTCAAATTAAAGTTTAAACATTTTAAATGAATTTGAATTTTATATGTTTTTTAGCAAAATCAAAACTTTATTATGAATTGGGTGACAAGTTTGCTAGAAATAACAACCTTATTTCACTTCCTGCCTTAACTGTTATTAGAAAGGAACTATTTAACTAAAAAATCTCTAATTTTTAACTTTTATTTAAAAACCATGCCATAATGTACAAAAATCATATATACAATTAATAATTTAAAATTTAATTTTAAAAAAAAATAGATTTTTCAACAATATATCTTTTTACGTTAAAATTAATTATTAAGTCTGAAATTATTTAAGGTGTTTCAATTTTATGTTTATTTTGAGTATTTCATCAGCACAGTTTTTTCAGTTTGAAATCTTTTTACATCAACCATTATATAAGTTATTTTTAACTCCAATATCTGCAAATTTTTAACATTAAATTTAATATAATTTAAAAATCATTAGTATTAAGAATCAAGCATGAAGTTTGCATGAGTCAAACATGAATCTAGCACTAAGATTTGAACCTAAACACTATATATTTTTACATATTATTATTCCACTTTTATGAGTTTTTGACTGCCCTCCGGCTGAAACTATTCAAGCCATATTTTTCAAATTGAGGTTATACCCCATATTTTGAGGATCAAGAATTCAATTCTGTCTGAACAAATTACATGTTTATTCAGAAAAATTATGTTTTTGTGTTTGATTTCGTAAGTTAAAAGATCATCTTCTCCAACTAACTAGCATATTCAAAGTTAGATCCTCGGTACATTAATATTGCGTCTCAGTACCTTAAAATTTAATCATTAGATAAAAGTTGTTCAGAATGTTTACTTTTTTATGTGCATAAACTCATTATGGTCCCTAGATACTAATTAAGAACTTTAACAAACAATCACTGGTATCAGTTGAAAGGTTGGCTGGCTAGCTATTATTTCCATAAATTTACTATTAAGAAGAGTATTTTTAAAATAAAAAATAATTTTGTCAAAAATTTGTTGCATAATAATGTTGAATTAAAGTTAATTTTTTTTTTACAAAAATAGTGTCGTGATTTCGGGACATCACGATTTATAAACAAAGGGCTTGGTGCAATAACATGGCAAATCCAATTTATTTGTAACTTTATTGCCATTTTTAACTGTGTACAATCCAACTGCTTTGATTAGAGAAAGAACCAGGTACTAACATAATTATATAAATAATGTTACTGCACCAAGTATTTCTATTACAACTAGCATCTTGGGAAAATAAGTTATATTAATTCGGTAAAACTATTTTGAATTTAATCAATTGCATTTTTAACCGGTTTTGTCATCTGGTATTTGTAAAATTGATAATCATAGCAAAAGGTTTACTTCAATATATTTTAAAATATTTCCCGCAGACTAATTAAAAATAAAAACAGTAACAACAGTTGCAATATTTTATACAAAAAAATAGAAATTCTTTACAAATTTAGATAAAAATTATCGCTGTAATTATATTATTTAGCGATCTCACTGTTAAATTTAAAAAATTTATAGTAGCATAATAAAATGTATTTTTTATTGCACGACTCTCAATATTTACATATTTTAAACAGAAACATTGAGATAAACAATTCTACCTAACAGCTTGATTCAAAAAATTAAGTTACGTCATAATATTAAAGACAATTATTCCATGCATAAACTGATAAAAAATTCCAACAGTACTGAATTATAAATATTATAAACTCATACGTTGAAAGCTTTCAGTCTTTCGGGATCATATCGATTAATGTCAATTTTATCTGAATCATCGTCTTCATCTTCATCATCTTCTTCTTTTGTACCAGCTGATAAATTATCTGGAGTACTAGACGCTTCACGCTTTATGCATCCGTTACAAGAACTCTGTCATATATAAATACATGTGTAAGTTCGGTTTATGCGACCATTACAACGACTTTGTGATACAATTCTCAAAAATAGTGTGAATTAAAATTATACCATTACAAGAGTTATCTGATACAAATATAAGTATGAATTTATTTATACATCCATAAGTTTATTTATAGACCCATACATATCATAACAAATATAAACATAAATTTCAACTTAATTTAGAAAACCATTACAAGCGCTATTAAGGCACTGTTAAATACAAATAAAAACTTAAGAGTTAAATTAAATATTAGCAAAAAATAATATATATATATTACTTTTGTTTAATCCGTTTATTGTCATAAGAAAGCACAAAAGTCTAAATTTATAAGTCTAAATTATCAAGTCTAAATTTATTTATTTTCTGTCTTTTCTTATAATGCTTATCTGCTTAATAAATTTATGATATTATTAACTAATATAATGTACCGTAATAAAAATTAAAAGATATTTGTTTTGATTCAGAGTCAAAGTATGTGAAAATGACACAAGTGTGTTTACTTTTATGTTCATTACATATTAAACGTATAAAATCCCTCGAATCAAAATTTATGACTTATCGTGAGCATATAATTATGACTTTATATAAAATGAAGTAAGTAAGCAAAATTATCACTATTCATACATGCTGTATTGAAGGATATTATATTAATTGGTAATTAACCTTAAAATTTGTAGAAATGATTTCATGACTTATTCAAAGACAATATTAGTAAAAGATACCCACTACATCAAATGACTGATCTTCATGGCTGTTTGGCAGAGTTCCTTTAATCATATTAATTGGTTCCTCGCTCATTGGTTCTTGGCACCACTGCATTGGCTTAACCTGACGAGATGCACTCAACTTCTGACTCTCTGGACTGTCTACTGCATCTTCTAAAATAATTATAAAGATTTAACAGGGGGGAAAAGCATTTCAAACGGGCATTACACGTAATTAACACCAAATACTAATTAATATAAAAATTAACTTAAAACTTTACAAATTTCACCATTTGAGGATCTGCCACAGAGAAATTAATTAATAATAGTATTTCAATAATCTCTATATCGATATAAACATTTACAAACTTTCATTTCAGCAATTTCCCTGTCTGGAAATGAAACGACGCAATGCAGATAGCAATGCATCTGTCGAAAAATCAGGTAACAATTCATTATTATTGCTCTTCTAGCATGAAAGTTTATAAATAAGGCTTTTTAAGTAAATTTTAAAACGCAGAAGCCATTTGACCGATTTCGTTCAAATTTTATATTTTGAACAAAAATGTGTATTTTAAGTAATCTAAAATTACATAGCTTTAAATAATGTAAAAAAATGCTTGCTGCACAATTTTAGAAAAATTAAAACCTTAGGAAATATAATTATAAAAAAATTATAAAATAATGCCGTAATAATAATTCCTATGTAAATAATTGCGAAATTATTGCAAATTATTATTTACACGAGATTATCTTTGAAAAAACGAATTACATGGTAGTGTGCCAAAAGTTTCTTACTATGAAAATTCTATTCTAGTATTTTCTATTTTATTTATTTTCTATCATTCTAATATTTTCTATGAAAGTTCCTGAAAAGTGGCGAAACACAAAAAAAAGAGTGAAATTAAAATTAAGATGTCCAAACTTTCGACCGCTTTCTTTCTATTTCAACCATATTTTTTCGATTGCAAAGTACTTTTTTGTACTTATTTAACTTAATTAATATTTATCACTAATTAGTTAGCAAATTTGAGGTTAACTCCTTTGAACCATATACATTGGTACTTTTTATTAAACTTTTTAATTCAGTTTTATGACTTTGTTTTAGGTCGCAATCTATATCTTTAACTATCGTACTAGAAAGGGAAATTTATACTATACCTTGTATTACCTTGCCAAATGCAGTTTTTACATTGAAAAATACTAAGAAAACCTTATTTTATGAGTGAGGAACTAATTACGCTAAGAATCAGCAAATAAAAGATCAACACTTTATTACTATTTCTTTTGAATGTTATGTATGTGATTGCCTGGAACACTCATGTATAAGTAATTTTAATACTCAGTAGTTTTATTGGGACGGTTTTATTTTCAATACACATAAAGATTGCTATAAGGCTGATTTATGAGAACAAATAATCTAACATAGTTTATTTTAAGTGATTTAAGTTGAAAAAGTTTTTACAGTTTGCGAAAATGTCATTATTATTTTAAAAGTGAGAAGCCCATATTCTTGTACAGAAATCTAAATATCGACAATTCGAATATCGGAATCGACAATTTGCATTACTTTATTGTTTTTTCAGGTTTAAAAATTAAGGACTATATTTAATTTTTGCCAGCTGTATAAAAATTTACTCTTCGAAATAAATTCTTTGTTTTTTTTTAAGATGAATGCATATTGCAAATCTAATGGTTTCGGAATTACCACCAAATTCTACACGCTGTTAAAGATTCCAAAGCCACCATTTTTTATACAATCGAAGTTCTATCCCAATTCATGATAAGATTTTGCATTTTAAAGGCGTTTTATACTGTGAAAAAATTAACGCAATGTGTTTATTTCTATGACGCAAATTAAAAGCCTCCAAAAATCTTCAACATTCTTCATTGTTAAACTTACCATCAAAAGCAAGTGATTTAGACTTCAAACAAAGAAATATAAATACAAACCAAGAGGCATATCACACAAATATATTTTACTTATTTTTGATAAAACTGCCTACTATGAGCAGTAAATGTTATATTTTTCACTTTGCATAAACATTATCCTTCAGAAATTTGTTAAACTTAACATTCAAAATTCGAAAAAAATATTAGCATTTAATTTATTTTTTTAAATTTATTTTTTTAAGCGTTCAGTGTGAAAAAAAATATATTATTAAATAAGTTATTTTTAGGTTCATAAGTTTTTTAAAGTAATAGTTTGTAAATTATAGTAAGTTTGAATGCTTATTTTTTTAACTATTTTTAGAATGGAAAGTTTTTTCATAAGAATTAATAAAAATTAAAATTTGATCAAAATGCTAAAAATGAAAGGCAAATTACAAAATTAATTCATATTAAAATTTCATCGAAAAAATAAAAATTTAAATAATGTTTAAGAATTAATTAAAGTAAATAATTTTTGAAAAATGAATAAAAAATTTAAATAATAAATTGAATAATAATTAAATAAAAAATTAAATTTCGTTTACAAATTATAAATGAAAAATTAAAATTAATAAACTATTAAAATTTAAAAAATTAATTCATTTAGAAAATTAATTAAAATAAAAAAAAATCAAATAATAATTTTTTTTTTAATTTCATTATGACAGCTTGCTTCTTTCGAACTGAATAAATTTATTAATTAATAACTTAATAAATATATAATTTGGTTTACAACTTTGTTAATTTAAAAGAAATAAAATTATACCAAATGTTGTGTTTTAACTATATTACCAAATAAAGTTTTGCAAAAGACAATCTAAATCAATTTAAAAAAATTTTCCTGTCAGTGAAGTTAAAGATTAGAAATTAGATTTTTCTTTTATTTAGTTTACTTGTTCTAGCACTTTTTTTGTCGTATTTTCAATTCCAAAAAGTTTTTTTCACTTAAAACTTAAACCAAGATTCAGATGAAATAAAAAGAAATTTAAATATACGTAAATAAAGCAGTTTTAACTTAACTAAACGTTATTCAAACTAATCTAATTTAATCTTCACCTATTTATCATTATTATTTATTCATTTTCAAATTTTGAATTTCATATTCTTTTTCAGTTGCCTAAACCAAATAAAATTTTTATTTAATCAATTTCTTTTTTGTTAGTTACATGATTATAAGGGTAGGAATCTGTATACACGTTAAAGACTAAAAAAATAAAAGTAATTATTTTTCAATCTATTCTTGACTTACCTGGTTTAGTAGAAATACTATCATAACTAATTTGTCCTGTTGAATTTAGCGGAGTATTAGGTTCTTCACTGATCTCGCTTTCAATATCCTCGGAATCCTATCAGAAATAATTGGGGATATTTCAGTTATCTTCAAATTATTAATTATTTCAATGAATAGGGTAGGAGGCAATAAAAGGAGAAATTATTTTTGTGACACTATAAGTTAGAAAGGTAATTTACTTAACATCATGCACGGAGATGATCATTCAATTTTCTTTTCTCACTACTAAATAAATGCATAATACATGATCGTTAGCAATATTATAATGCTGGCACCATACCAAAAGCACGAATCTGTCATCTGCAAAAGTAACAGAGTAGTGGTCTCAGCGTGGTGATGCACTATTAAAATTTCCATTCTAAAATTAAGGCAAAATAGCCTGCTGCAGTCTGTCCATCCAATTAACAGTTAAGTTTACGAAAAAGAACATTCTTTACGCTCACGGTTTTGAAGCAGTTCACAACTCAACTAGTATGGTTAAGAAACCATGAATCCAAAACTATATGATTTTTAACCCTTTTCATTTAGCATGGTTTCAAAACATAGGAACTAATCTTTACGTTAAGTAATAGGCATTGGAAATAGTTAGTGAACCGTTGAATGTGATTTACTTAGTTTACCTGGTTGTTTCACCTATCGTAAGGCATGGGATATACTAGACATTTTTACTTTAAGCAGGTTTATGGTGAATGGAGGTATCGTATTCTAATAATCAAGGGTCATAAATTGTGAAGTGCATTACGCTGGAAACTCATCATGTGTTGAAGGGAATGGAGGAAATATTGTAGTGTCAACGATGGGACTCGAACCCCCGTTCTGTTGGTCATGAGATTGACAGATTAGCCCTCAAAATATATACCCAGCAACAAAGAACTGAGTGGCTTCGTTAGGTGAGCCTAGTGGGGTGATAAAATTCTGATTGTTTAACTGTATTATGTGGAAGCAATTAATAAATTGGTTTTTCGCCCAGTCAACAGTTGGAATGCCATCTTACTTGTGGTCCTTAGGCTGTTTTGTTTGAATATGGTAAAATAACAATTAAATAAATTGTTATTTAACAATTTTTCCGAGAAATTTCTAACAGTGTAAATCTATGAATATCGTTTTTAAATCATGTCAAGTTCATAAAACATTTTTATGAAATCTTAAATAACCAGAGCAACCCTTTCTTTCTTTTGAAATTTTTTTCTGCTAGTATAATCTTTAATTAGTTCTTTGAGAGTATCATTTTTAAATTAATGCGAAGTTCATAAAACATTTTTATGAAATTTTAAATAACCAAAGCAACCCTTTCTTTCTTTTGAAATTCTTTTCTGCTAGTATAATCTTTATTTAATTCCTTAAGAATATCGTTTGTAAATCAATGTGAAGTTCATAAAAAAATTTTATGAAATCTTAAATAACCAGAGCCACCCTTTCTTTCTTTTGAGATTTGGATTGGATTAAATATAGAATTGAATAACACGCCAACCGGAAGGGGCTGAGCCAAATTCAAAGTAGTTATGAAATACAAATAAATCATACGAGGTTGTGAACTAAATCTATCGAAATAAATGAAGGAGAATGAAAGATCTTTATGGAATCCCGTGTTTTCCTAAAGATAATAAGTCCTACGGTTTCAATATTTTAATTCTTAGATAGTTTCCACGCATAGGTTGTATTAATCTTTATTTTTCATAGTTATTTTTATCATTTTTCTATTATTTAGATGGACCACATTTAACAAATACATTTTACTAATGATTCAGAGTTCAATTTTTTATTTATTTTGTTTTTATTTTCTGTTTATATTAATCATAAATTTTTACAAAATAATGTCAACAACTTACCTAACAATTTTTATGCAACACTGTACTCAAAATAACTTATAACAATGAATAATATACTTACATGGAAATCGAAAGACGTGAGAAAAATTGATTGTGGAAAAAAATTATTATTTTTCTAATCATTTTTTTCCACGATCAATATTTCTAGTTTGTATAATTTTATTTATTCCAGAAATTTAAGTGAAAAACAATTGAAGAGATAGTAGAACATGCTCAGTGATATTTCAGAGAAATTGAAAACTATTCATTGCAAACCACACTAAGAAAAATTCATAAATTTACTGTCTTATGGCGCAAAGGAAAAACCAAAAAGCTCAGTATTTTTTACCGAAATACTTTGCTAGAGGTTTTGATGAAAATAACAATAAAATATGGTTCTATAATGCATCACAAAGTATGGAAGATGTCGTAAAATTTGATAATTTTACCCAGATACTGTAGAGCATGGCAAAAGAACCATTTATTGGGTTAAGTTTACTTGTTTTGCATTTCTCCGTGTTTATAAAAGTTAATAGTTCACAAAAATAAGATTGGTTCCATTATTTTTAATTTAGTAATTTACCACATAACTTTTAATTCATATTTGTTTTAAATAAAATCAAGGTTTTAAATAAAATTTTTAACTTATTTTCATTACTTTGAAGTATGCAATAAAAATTTTAAAAAAATATAATTTGTCTTTTTAGCAGTAAATTTCCCTTTACTTTGTAACATTTTCGCACAGTAGGGGCTTATATTTTCGCAATATTTTTAATATGACGAAAGATCGTATTACATACATGTTATAATCATTTTTTATTATAATCATTTTTAATTACTTATAAGTGTTTATCAAAACTGATTTTACTTACTTTTCACTAGTGTATTTGTAAAACATAAGCAAATAGTTTGTCACAATGTAGGACAAAATAAAAAAACTGTAGTTTCAGATATTTTTAACAATGAAAAAGGAACTAGAAAATTTATTTCTTTAAAGTCATTTTTTTCCCAATCACTACAATATTTTTACAAAATTTCTGAAATAAAATTATAAAATGATTCCTTTGCTTTAATCAACTTACTGAGGATGGATTCTAAAGTAATACACCTTACTTTATATTTTTTTTAATTTTTCGAACGACATAAAAAGTTTACAAAACTTCATTCAAAAGGAGCATTTCAAAACAATTTTTAAAAAATTTGAATTATTTTTTTAACATGTAAGGAAACTGAAAAATGAAAATTTTAATTATGAGATGAATTAAAAATAATTTCTAAAATAGCTAATGATTGTTAAAAGTTGAGGTTAAGACGATAAAAGTATAATTAGAAATCTATTATATCGAAAGTTTTTTTTTCCTCGTGATTTGATAGTTTTAGTTTAATTTTCCAAAACTCATGGGAAAAAGGTTGAACATGAGCTATTAAAAGGCAAGGATGTAATTTTATCTTTTAATGAATTTAAAAATGCTGGAATTTAAAAATTTTATATCAATTTTTAGCAAAAATGTAAGACATTTCTCATAACAAATCATGATTTTGATATAGAATACTATCCGTAATTTAGAATGACTATCTATAAAAACTTTTAATTAGTCTAAATTAAGAAAATTTAATTAGTCTAAAAGAACAATAAAAATTTTATGAATAAGCTTCATACTTTAATAATGCAACAAATATTCTGAAGAAGCTATTTTGGCACTTTTTTTAATAAAAGATTTTAATTATTATTAGATAATTCTTTTGACTAAATAAAAATGTCAAAAATATAGAAATTGGTGATAAATTTATAAAGAAGATCTTTAATTTAAAAAAAAATGACGAAGAAAAAAATGGAGTACATATCACGATTAAACAATTCCCTGTCGAAATCTTTGCTTCCAAATTTAATTCATTTTAATAACCGAGATCTAAAACAATTAATTACAATTTATCAGATAAACTACTCCTTAAATTTATGAAATCTTACCCTTGTTATTTTCGAGCAATTCTTTAAAAAATATTGTTTGAAAAACATACAAAGTAGAAATTGTTGTATACAAAAATTGCTAATTTAACTATGAAAAAATAATTATTTGTAATAATTAAAAAAATTACAAAAGAGAACTTGAACCATCACCAAACATAATCATATTTAAAGAATTTCATTTCAAAGTTTTTTCTTTGGAATTTAATGCATCTTAATAACCGAAATCATTAAAAATAATAGAATTTAATAAATAAACTACTCCTGAAATCTATGAAATCTTACCTTTGTTAGCAATGACTAATTCTTTTAAAAAATGAAATAGTTTGAAAAACATGCAATAAAGAATTATCTATATACAGAAATTTCTGATTTTGGTCTGTGGAAAAACTTTAATTAAAAAATGACGAAAGAGAACCACCTCCAAACATAATCATACTGAAATAATTTCTTTTAAAAGTCTTTAAGAGTTAGTTCATTTCGAAGTGTAATCGAAAGAATAATTACAATTTTTCAAATAGACTAATTCTTAAATCTTTAAAATCTTACTTTCGTTTTAATTGAGTCATTCTTTTAAAGAAAATAGGAAAAAAAATTGTAAAAGCATGCAATATAGAAACAGATGCGAACACAAATTTCTAATTAAATTATGAAGAAAAACTTTAATAAACAAAATTACAAAAATAACTTGAACCACCACTAAACGTACTCGTAATTAAAGAATTTATTTTCAAAGTCTATTCTTTAAAATTTAATACATTTTGATAGCCAAAATCAAAAAAATAATTAGAATATATCTAATCGTCTACTCCTGAAATCTATGAAATATTTCCTTCGTTATTATTGAATAATTCTTTAAAAAACAAATAAATTGTTCAAAAACACACAATCTACTGAATACATAGATCGCTAATTTAACTATGATAAAAACCATTAATTAAAAAATTACAAAGGAGTTCTTGAACCACCACCAAACATAATCATATTTAAAGAATATCTTTTCAAAGACTTTTCTTTAGAATTTAAAACATTTTAATAGCCGAAATCGAAAAAATAATTACAATTTCTTATGTTTTTGAAAATTTTGATTTAAGATGTTCCTTACCTCCCGATCAGGATTGAGAGCTTCTTCATCGGAATATCCTAGACTCCTCATGTGTTTAAGATATGTTGTAGTGATGGGTAAACTGTAGTCTATGTGCAAAGAATCTGTTGTTTCCTCCCCAACAGAACTGATGCTCTCTTCGAGCTGCCCGTTGTCATGGTTACTGCCCGTCTTTTGCTCTGCTGTTCCAAGATGCATCCTCTTCTGACAATCCGTACACGACATTAAGAAATGGGTCACAGCTTCACGTGGAAGAAAAGAATACATCTCCGCAATCTGCAATAAATTTTAGAGAAATCGTTCACTTGAAAAATGCAAAAACTCCTGCAACCAATAAAACGCGTGAAATATTGAAGTTTAGTTGTGAGCACGGTTTTATGCATGTTTATCCTATTCTGCAAAATTATGCATTTAAAAAATTTTATTTCTGGAATAAAGTATAACTGGTGTTAGCATCTCTTGAATGCAAGTTCATATAATTAAAAAATACTTATGAGAAATACCATTCAGAATTATATTGCATATTAGTATATCAATACAATTTAAGATTGGTTTTCCAACGACTCTTCAAATAGGAGCATAAAATGTTAAAATTCTTTTGTGCACAGGCTTTAACATATGCTTATCGAGTTGCACAAAACTCTTCCTTGAAAGAATATAATTTATGAAATAAATTATAATCGCTGCTAACATCCCTCGAATGCAAGTTTATATAACATAAAAAAATACTTTTGAGGAATACTACTTGGAACTATAATGCATTACTTATGAGAAGTACTATTTAGTTCCATAATATATATTAGTAAATTTTTTTTAATAACCGTCGTTGAATAACCGACACAACTTTATGAGTATACGACTACTAATATTCAACTCCGTAGCCTTGTAATTTTGAACCCAATCCAGAAGACAAGAGAACTCCTGGATCGAGTATTGGGAGAAATTTGCATTCATGGAGGAATTTTTGATGAACCTAACCCGAATTTGTGTTACATGGAGAGGAAGATCACGAGAGCCTCCCACGGTTAGCCTGAAGATTAGTACATTTATATAATTTAAGATTTGTATTCCGCCAACCCTTCAAATGAGAGTATGGAATGTTGAAATTCGATAAGACACAGGATTTAACATTCCTTACCCTGTTGCATAAAACTGTGCATTCAAAAAATAATTTCTGAAATAAATTATAATCGCTGCTAACATCAACCAAATGCAAGTTTATATATTAGTATAGCATTGAAAATACTTATGGAAAATACTGTTACAACTTGAATTGGCATTTCGCTAACTCTCCAAATAAGGGCATGAAATGTTAAAATGGGATTGGGTGTACAGAATTTTACCTATGTTTATTTCGTTACACTTATGCATTAAAATGTATAATTTCTGAAATAAAGTGTAATTAGTGTTAGCATCTAGTGAATATATATTTATATATGAGAAATACTTATGAGATGTACTACTATGTAGTTGTATTTCATAAAAACTTACTCTTAACTCTTGTTAACTCTTGTTGGTAACTCTTATAATTGGTAACTTTTTAAAAGAGAGAGCATGCTATGTTTATGCATTGCATTTAGCATTCGTTTTACAGATTACACGAAATTTCGTATTAAAAACTATAGTTTCAGAATAAATTATAACCAGCGTTAGCATCCTCATATGCAAATTTACAAGCTATGAGAAATTATATATGGTTTGCATATGCTGACAATTGAATTTATTACGTTTTACTGTGCGGAGAAAAAAATTCTGATAAAATTTTCGTATTTCTAAAATAATAACATTTCTGGTTTAAAAAAACATAACTTTAGTAATAAAATAATTTCATTCGGTAATTTTTAAGCGGTAATGGTTTATCGAAAGTTCTTGTTTACAAAATTATAGTTCTTATTACCATACATTTAATAAAAATACAGAACTTAAAAGTAAATTTAACCAAATAAATGATTTTTATGCCATGCTCTGATATCATAAAAAAATTAGCAAATTTTACCTCATTTAATACCAAAAAATATGGTAATAAAACCAAATTTTACCGTCAATTATACAAAACATCATTAAGTAAAATCTTCGGTAAAAATTAGCGTGCTTTTTGATTAACCATGCTTTTGGGTAAATTTAACTATATTCGGGAGGTTTTGAGTGCACGCACTTAATCTCAGTGCGAATCGCGTAATACAAAAATTTTACATGTTGCACAAGTACTAGTAATATGATTTTAATATGAGTTACAAGTTAAAATGATTTTTAAAAACAAATAAAGAAAATATGAAAATTATAGATTTGTAAGATACAAAATGATTCATTTTTGCTATTATTAATCAATTGATAATGCATTATTATTTAAAAAGTAATTAAGAAGATGATAATGATATATATCTAGAATCTATAATAACTGATTATTTGCAATAAATAATACAAATAAACTAAATTATTATTTATTAATAATTGGAGTAAAATATTTCAAGTGTGTATTTTTAATAAAAGCTGGAAAATGAAGCAGTGTAAATGCATTCCGTAAAAATATTCTACTGACTTGAAAAATATTAAACTAAATAATAAACTAAATACAAAACTAACTTAAACTAAATATCAAACTAAATAATTAAATATTTTAAAAATTTTAAAAAATTACATGGGATATTTTTCTCTAGAAATAATTTTATTTAGTATAATTCAATATAATAAAAAATATACTTAGATATTGCGTGAGAGCAACAGCAGGAATATCAAAGATATAATCAAGGGCCGGAAGTAGCACACTGCAAGTAGTGAAACTACTGTAGTCACTACTATTTTTCGAAGTTTGTAGTGCAGTGTGATACTTTTTTTTTTAAAAAAAAAAAGTAATGTAGTGAGTAATGCGATTTAAAAAAAGCAGTAGTTTGTAGAGGTTCCTGAGAACTACTTTTAACGTTAGTTAAGAAAAGAAACACGGTTTTAACGCAACTAATTTTTCAAATTTGATTGGTACAAATCTTCGCCTGCATTTTTTATGCCTGTATAATACGGATAAAATGATGTGTAAGATATATATATGGTCACCACTTCTGAAAGTTTTGAGAGTGATATTTCTAAACTCGCAAACTAAATCAGTTTTGAAAACCAATGCAAACTAAATATAGTAAGTAGGGATGAAACAGTTTTAAAAGAATTTAAAACATTACTACTCTGCGAGAATTAAATATAAATTACAGCAGTTACATTGTTATATTCCGCAAAAACCTCCCGTGGTTAGTCCGATGGCAAGGGGACTCTAATTCATGGTTGCGGAATTCGTATCGACCAGCCATCGCTGGGATTCAAACGCGGTTCCATTGGGAAGCGAGCGCTCTATCTCCTGAGACTCCACTGCTCTATAATTGCAAATACAAAAAATTGCATCTACAACAAGTTTTTTTTTTTTTTTTTTTTTTTTTTTTTTTTTTTTTTTTTTTNTTTTTTTTTTTGACAACGCTACAGCGCGAATTAATTTATTGTAGGATCCATTATCGAACGAATTAAAGTTTTGGAACAACATAGGTAAGAATTTAATTCTTTAAAAATAACTTTAAGCAATACTTATTTAGCTTTGAGACCTAGGCAGATACTGAAAACCTTAGCTTTAAGAACTAGGCAGATACTGAAAACCTTAGCTTTAAGACCTAGGCAGATACTGATTTATTTTATTTACAGCATAGTTAATTTGAAATAATTTCTATTTTTTTTTTTCGTGATTTTGGTTACAAAAACGATTTAGAACGAATGTTACATGAAAAAAAATTTTAAATAATAAATTATCATCATAAAGAGAAAAAAAAATCATTATACTTACAGTTGCATTGATAATGTCGGGGAATTTTATTTCCCGGAACTGCATTTAATGTAACTCCTAATTGAATTTAGAAAAGTAATTCTGAGTAAAACTAAACTATATAACTTTAACTGTTAGTAAAATCGTGAAAATATTAAATGATAAGTATATTAAATGATTTGCACGCATTTTTTTCTTTTTTTGTCATTACTGTTACCAGAAAGAAGAGAAAAGAAAATTTATCTTGTTAAGGAATTTATTCAGTCATTTAAAGATTCTACAATTTTTTCATATTTCATATAATGCAATTTCGAAATGCTTTAATTTTTCTTTTAATTCAGTCATATTTATTTTTTCCTGTTTTAATTTTTCATCAGATTAGTTTATAACATCATCTAATACCAATACTCTATAACGTCGGTTGTAACTGGAGCAGTATGTCACTAAATTTTCAACACTAATGTCACTCAACTTTCATATCCAGTTCAATCTTTAGTCCAATTCAGAATCATAGCTATATAATCTGTAGTTAGTAAATCTCATAAAGAATGAAAATATTAATCGGATATAATGAAAACATTAATCGGATATATAATGCAAATATTAATCGGAAATTAATTTTAAATTAAGTTTTAAAAAAGAAAAACTTAATTTAAAAGAAAGAGTAGCAAGCGTTATAAAATACGTTATCAAGTCATTTAAGTCATTTAGTCATTGTAGGAGCGATGAATTCCGAGAATATAATAATAATTACCCTTTTTAATAATTGTTGAAAATATATTAAAAAATCTTTTCGCAAAAAAATTTTTAATTTTTTTATGAAACAAAATTTTTTTAAATTATAAAAAATAAAGGAAAATTGTAAATAAATAAAAAAACTGTTATGATATGCAATGTTTATATAATTTCAATTTTTTAATTCCTGGTGGATGAAAATAAAAACAAAATTGCCAGATTTTTTGAAGGAAAACGTACATATATATTAAGTGTCGCCATCTACTGAGAGTTAGATTAAATTTACATTAATCCCTTCTTTCAGTAAAAAAAAATTATCATATTAAAGGTATTTATAAAGAAATTTTCTCAAATTTAGAAGAAAAAAAGTAAAATAATGGAAAAATTGAATTGATGTTAAAACTCTTTATGTTAAAAATGTCTCGCGATATCATAATATCTCTCGTTTTTAATGTTTTTTTTTTCTCACATGATTCATACAGATGGGGTAATGTATTGCAAATATTTTAATTATTACACAAAATAGTAATTTATAATATCAAAAACATATTTTATTAGTTTAAAAATGAATATTATAAAAACTTTTTTTCTCATTTTCCCTATTTTTATTTATTTATTTAGCTAGTTAGTTAGTTATTTTTTAAAATTAAGGAGAAAAATAAAAAAAAGTTTTAATAACATGTATTCTATTTTATGCTGTCATAATTGAGTTTTTATTATTTTAAGGTATTAGTTTGCACACTAGTTGAAATAAAATTCGTAAAAAAGAGGCAGCATGTACTCTAAAGTAGTTCTTTAAGACCTTTTTTCTTTTAAAATTTTGAAATATTTTTTAGATATTAATTAATTTTTACATTATATTTTGCACATCAAATAAAAATCGGATACTATGTGGTTTTTCTCTTCTTTTTTTTTTTCATCGCATGTGAACGATCAATAAATAGATATTACTTAAGTTTAAAAAAATAGTAAGAATATGATATATATTCTATTTGGGATCCTCAATTTCTACTGTCCCTTTTGAATAAAACTGTACTTCGTTTGTTTCTTTGTCATAAATTTTAAAACTTTAATCCTCAAAAAAAAAAAAAAAAAAAAAGCACCGAAATTTTTTTTTACACAGAGCACATCTAGTTAAGATAAGACAAAATTTTACAAAAATTGCTGAAAAACTTCATTTAATATTACAAATATAAAATAAGCATTCATTTTTAGGAAGCAATCAATAGTAACAATATTTTCAAACATTAATCTAATAATCATCAAATTCTTTTCAAATTTTTTTTAATCTCATTGCTTAAAACGCAATAATAATTAAAAAAACAAAGCCCAATTTACCCAATAAACAGAAATTATAAAATTTTACATTAAAATAAGTCGGCATTTTTTTAAAGACATAGATGTGGAATTTTCTGTTTCTCTGTATTAAAATACGAGAGAATATAATTATATTGTAAATAAAGTTAAAGTAACTTTTCTATGAAGCAAAAGAATTTATGTTTAAAAGCTTTACGAAAAAGTTTTTAAAAGTTTTTAAAAGTCTGGGCAATAATCTTAGTAAAATAATCAATCAAAGGATAAGGAATTAGTACATAGTTCTCTAATGAATCTACAGATGGCAGCATCAGCATCCTATAAAAATTTTGTTATCTGAAATATAAATATAATGGATTTTTGGTATTAAAATATAAAATCAACTGATATAATGACTGATAAATGTCGCGCAAGAATAATAATCATAAATTTAAAAACATATTTTTGATTAAAACTATAAGATAACCTAAAATATTTTGGAGATGATAATTACTTTATAAATCATGCTTTACCCATTCTTCACCTTTATGAAATCATGAAACACCAAGAATGTAATATTTTTATAGTTTAAAAAATGCTATAGTTTAAAAAATGCATAACGAATGCAATACTATCTGATACTTTATTTTGATTGGTTTGCATTTTGTTGCAAACTTATAACAAATAAATAGAAATCACTTGAGAAATTTAATATTGTTTAGTGTGCAAAATATTTTACCCTTTAATAGCTAAGATGCCATCTTTCAAATATAGTTTGTATGCATACTATTAAGTCTCTATTGCATTGCTAAATGCTTGCATATTGATACAAACGTAAAATTGCAGAAACTTATTTTAGAACTTATGTAGTATTTAAAGTGAAAAATATTTATCTCATTAATATCCAAAGCTAAGTTTTTCAATTATATTTATATAACAATTCATATATTTAAGTCTCTATTACATTTATTAAGTCTCCATTACGAAAGGAGACTTATCTGAGAACTTTACCCGTGCTAAAAGAAAAAAATGCCCAGGATGCAATTTTTTCAATTATATTTTGTTAAATTATTATTAAGTTAAATCTATGTTATTATTTTTAAGTCTTTATTATCATTTTTAAACATCTATTTACTTGTTATATGTCAGTATACAGCTTTAAATATTTAACAAGAAATCGAGATATCATTTCAACTTTAACCATGCTTAAAGTGTAAAATATATCATCCGTTAATCCCGTGAACACACACGAGACACCGGTGTTCTTTTTATATATTTTTTTATATTTTTTTTTGTAACTCTTTAAATGCAAGCAATATATTTTGGTATTTTTAATTATTAAAAACAGTCAAAAACTTACTGAAAAATTTATTAGATCAAAGAAATTATAATTATACTAAAAAATGAAACCCAAAAAGAGTAGTTTGAAAAAAAACTTCATTCATATTCAAAAATGTATCAAAATTGATTTTGTGAATAAAAGAAATTTCAATGATAAATAACGGTTTCTTTAGGTCTAAATTAACTGCTAATTTAAAATTTTATTATTTGGAAGATTTTACACGCAACTCAGAAAAAGACACCGGTGATTCATGCTATATTTCATAACTATATATTATTAAGATGCTAAATATAATTTTTTTCACTTATTTTGACCTAAATTTATACAAAATAATGAAAAAAGTATAAAAAAACATGTGTAATTAAAATTCTACGTCAAAGCTATAACACCTAAATATGCATCTTTTCAATCATATTTTCCATAGTTATTATTATTATGTCTATTACATAGATTATTATGTTTTCATATTATTCCTAACATTTGACAAAAAATCGTAAATAAATTTAAAATTTCAGCCATGTTTATAGAGCAATAAATTTTAAGCTTTGAAGTTTAATATTCGTTTTTTAATTAATATTTCGTACATTTATATAAAATTTGATTAAATAAAAATCAAAACCTGACTAAAATTGATTTGTCTCATTTCAAAAATTCAAAAAATCGGTAAAAATTTTATGATACAATGCGAAAATCCAAATAACTAAAGTGATGTGAGATTCCAAGAAAAAACGTGGACTTAAAATAATATTTTTAAGGGATTTACCGGAATGCAATTAAATAAATTATAAATTTAAAAAAAATTCTTAACATTGAAAAGATCTGCATTTTAATCAGTTTTGAAATTAAACTTAAAATTCATTAACAACCGTACACTTGACTCCTAGTATTATTGGTAAATTGTTAAAAATAGTTAAAGTAGTTAAAAATAATGTCTGCTAAATATTTATCAAAAACTAGTTAGTAAAAGCTTAGAATGCATTTTTATTGCCATTCTTAAAACGATGTAATAGACTTATATGTTAACCATTGTAATAATAAAACTGATAATAAAAATAATTATAATAATAAATAATGATAAAAATAAATAATAATAAATATAAAAATAAAGAAAATAGTTAAATCTATCACACATCGAGAAATAAAAAAAATATACAAAACGCGGACTATGTTGATCAAATTCATTAAACATTTAAAAATAATAATAATAATAATAATAAATAATGATAAAAATAAATTATAATAAATATAAAAATAAACAAAACAGTTAAACCTATCGCACATCGAGAAATGAAAAAAAATATACAAAATGAGGATTACGTTGATCGAATTCATAACACTTAAAAATAATAATAATAAATATTAATGACAAAAAATAATACAAAACTAAACAAAACAGTTAAATCTATCACTCATCGAGAAATAAAAAAATGTATACAAAATGCGAACTATGTTAATTGAATTCATAAAATATTTAAAAATATCTTACTAGATGATGACACTGACTAATCATGACTGACACGAAAGTATTTATATCTTGATACTTTTTCCTAGGAACAAAAAACAAAGAAAGGCTAAAATCTAACGTCACCGAAACTTCAATAAAGGTCAAACTCAGAGCGACAGGAAAAAAATATCGGGTCCTATTTAATGAGTTTTAGGTGAATTTTGAGAACCAGTTATAACTTGACTCACGTTGTCTGATTAATAAAGATCCAATATTTCATAAGTAAAAAGTGATACAATTGCAATGCGTATCAGGAAAACAACGACACCGATTCTTCTTCAGGTTCAAATAGTCATCAAAAACAAGCGATAATAAACGCCTCAAAAATATTTTGTTCTTTTAAGAAAGATAGATATAATACAAGCAAAAATAAATATCAAAAATAAAAAATGAAAAAAGCTACAGAAAATATTTTAAAAAAAAATACTATCAAATCATAGCATTTAAGCCGCTGGAGATGAATTGCGCTTTAAAATAATTGGAAAAAAGTTATTATGAAAATATAAGTGAAAATAAAATGACACAAAGCGAACATAACATGATTGCCAAATATATATCTATATAGCACAATAAAGACAAAAAGGATAAAAAGAAAAGAGAGAAAAACGAAGAAAATGAATAAGTTTTATTAACTGCGCATAAGCTACAAGTATATAAAACTCATATAATAAGTTAAATTATTGAGAAAATATGGAAAATAATAAAGATTAATTACAAGAGAGAAGGAAAAAAATAATTAAAATAAAATTATTTTTAGAAATATTTAAAAAAAAAATTATTTATCTGAAAAAAACTTATTAAAAATCCGGAAAACAAAATAAAGGAAGGATATAATATCTTCATCAGCTCACACGAATATATCCGCAATATCACCCCTTTTTGCGGATATACTCGTGTGAGATGATGAAGAGATTATATCTTTTGTTTATTTTGTTTTACTGATTTTTAATAAGTTTTTTGCTTAGATAAATTTTAAAAAAAATTTAAATATTTTTTAAAATTATTTTTTTTAATTATTTTTCTCCTTCTCACTTGTCATTAATCTTTATTATTTTCCACATTTTCTTAATATTTTAACTTTAATATATATATGCATGCCAAATATTTCGTAAATGGGCGAGCATCGGAAATTTCAGTAAAACTTTACATAAAAGCAAAATAATTGTAATTGATATGCTACTTTTCATTCCATAATATACTGGCTCTTATTTGGAAAGCATTTTTGGGAAGCAAAAAACAGAGAAAAAGTTAATTTTTTTCTCTTAAACAAATTGGAAAACTATTCATTCCAGTTTCGGCTTTTTGAAATTTGTCAACTTCTATCAAAACTGTAAACTATAATGTTTAATAAATAAGATTTAATGCATGCAACTTACCGCTTTATATGTTCTTTTTTGGCCAGCATGTTTTCCCCCACGACCATCCATGTCAACATGGACGCCATAGATAATGTCATAAAAGTTTTCAACAACAGCAACTTTCTTATAAACCACACTTTCTGCACGTTCACTATCATGATTCTACAAAAGAAAAAGAAAAAAGAATTTACAAATGAGAAATACGATAGAAACATATATACTCTTGACATTCAATTAACATGGTTTTTCGATTTTTCAAAGCTTTATCGCCAAGTCAAATAAAAAATGTCACAATTTAAGTGCCTTACACTTGAAGCAAAACGACGATTTTAAACTATATACTCGTATGTCATCTTGGTGGGAAGAATTATCTAGGATTTAGAACGGACAAATAGCTTAAATATTTTAAGTTGTTAAACTTTTTCAAAAATCGCCAATTTGGAGACATTTTTTCATGTAGAAGAAAATTATCAAAATCACGGCCTTGTTCTCAGTTTTTGGAAATTTTTATGAGCTCAGATTATGCAGCATTGGAGTTGGTTTTGAAATATTAAGAAATTAGACCACAAAACTGTGGTTTTTCACCATATTGACGTTTCGCGCCATTTTCAGAATAAGCATATATAGTGCTAGTTTTAGAAAGGCTAAACTTGCCTTAACAGTTGCAAAATCTCAGCAATTATGATAATAGCACATAATTCGCAAAAACTAATCATTTTGTATGATGACGATACATTCGAGAAACAACTTTAAAAGATTCTAATCAACTTAAGGTTAATAAGCTAATTCTTTCGATTGAATAGAAATAAAAAAAGCATTATACTATATTTTAAGCAGTCTATGTTTGATGCAAAACATACAAAAAAATAATAACAACTGGACTGCTACTTAAAATGCTTGTGTACTGACAGAAAAACTGGTTCAAAATTGTAACATTATCGGAACTATGATGCGTTTCAAATTTGCTGCAACCTCAGCAATTTTGCTGCAATTTTATAACAGCGGTGTTAATATACTAACTACTGTTTTCAGTTGCTTATAAAAAACCTTACCAATTTGGTTAATCTAAAGAATAAAACATTAGCCAAATGAAAATAATGTTACCAAATAAATTCGTCCGCTCTTACAAATCTGTGTAGAATTGCCTGTTACAGAAACTAAAAGCAATTATACTTTAGAAAAAAAAGAATATTATCTTAAACTCTTATAAAGCATCAATGGTCGACTCGAGTTAATACTTTTTAGAATATGAATTTTTTTCTGAAAAAAATCAAATTACAAACAACAATCAACATAAAAAATACTATCACATAAAAAATACAATCAACATAAAAAATGCAATCAACATAATAAATTTTTCCTAGTACTTATTTTTTTATATTTTAATTCACCTGTTTTTCTTCTTGAAATTGGTAGAATAATTCCTGAAAAATTGCGTTTTAAATATCTGACTTTTATAAAACTCGATTTCTCAGGAACTTTACGACCAATTTCGTTCAAATTTTGTATTTTCCTATACTAAAGGACATTCCTTAATGTTCTCATTCAGTAATTTGTAACCTTACAATTCAAAATTTTTTTTCTCCCTTAATTAAATAAAATAATTATAAATAATAAAAAATATTAAAAAAAATTTTGCAGTAAATTATTTTTTAATAAATGAATTTTATAACTGAGTGCAAAAATTTTTCAATTCGTTTGAACAGTTCACGAGAAGTGGCGAAATACGCAAAACGTAAAATTTACATCTAGGGGTTCAAACTTAGGACCGCTCTCCGGTCAAACTATTTTCTAATCCCTATATATTAGAGTCAAGAATAATAATCCGTCTGAAAAAAAAGTAAGTTTATTCTAAGAAATTAAGTTTTTGTATCTGATTTCGTAACTTAAAACTAACTGCGCTAACTGATTAGTATATTTGAAGCAACTCCCTCGAACCATTAAGATTGAATCGTAGGACGTAAAAATCCGATAACTAGACTAAAAGTTATTCTTGTTTTTTTTTGCACTGTATACATTGTATAATGCCCAAACCAGAACGTTCAAGCAAACAGGTATATTATTTTCATTTTTTATCTGCATTTGATTTCTAAATTTTGTTTTCGCTGAGTTAAAAACACAAAACTCTCTAAAGCAGTCTACTGAATATAAGGGCATGGCAGCAGCAAAGTCTATATCTGTTATCACAAAAAAAAGTCTCTTCCAAATTCTTTCAAAAAAAACGAAAAAAAAAATTATTTTTCAACACTCGCGATTTGGCGAAAAGTCCCGTTCATTCCGTCGCCATTTCATAGCGATTTGGCGCAATGGCGAGCGGTAGCAAAGACCTTAATACTTACAAAGGTATTTTAAACTACATTTCCGTTCAAGATGAAACACAGTATCAGTTAATCAAGCTTCAAAAGTACGATAAAATGATTCAGCACACTTCAAAATTTCTATCAATGCAGCAAATTAAAAAAAATCATAAATTAAGTTATCTAAAACACTAAATATATGACTTTAGCAATAACTATAAAATATAAATTCGTCTATTTTATTTACTTTCAATGCAACAAAAGTATATGGAATTTTCATTAAATTTTAAAAGTACTTCATTTAATGGCTTTGTAGTTTTTCAGTTCAATCGATTTCCAAATCACTATAATTTATATTTTTTTTATTCATAGAGAAAACGTTCATTTTTGTAGTATTTATTTCAAGTTATGTATTTAAGTAATCTAGTTAATTAAAAGTACCTAGCAGCCCCCCATTTGTAGATCATATTTTTGAACTTATAAGGTTATTATTTTTTTAATCAAATTTCAAATAAAATAAAGTAAGTTAAAATATGTCCTAATAAAAAAGTTGGGAAATTAAATATATTAGATTGACATTAATTATTATCTAATTCAAAATTGGCATATATGTTCTTTTTAAGTTGGCATCAGTTTATTAGAAACTGGGGTACATTACGATTTTTTCCAAAATACAAAGAAAGCAAACTTATAGATTTCCTTTTAAATTCACGTTTGTCTTTAGATATAAAAAAATAAATTCATAATGCACCATTTCTACTTTTTCCTTATTAGACTAATTCATCACAATACATATTTACTTATTATTTTATGTATATCTATGTTATTTTATGTATGTTATTTTATACTATATTGCATTTTGTATTATATTTTATATTATATATATATTATATGCTATTTATTATTATTATATATATGTTATTGCCATATATTATTATATATATGTTATGCCAACATAAATTTCTCTGATAACAATGGAAACAAATTTTTTGTTGCAACAAAATGCAACAAATAATGCAACAAAAATCTTGCTTAATTCGGTTGTTTGGATTTCGAATATGAAATTAGTTTTGCTCCTAAATCTACTGATTTTTTTAAATGATATTTCTAGTCTATTTTTGTCGAAATGTGCAAATTTAAAAATGTTATATGTAATGAAGAGATACATAGATGCTGCGACAAGCATCTAGGGGTGTTAGGACTCATCATAAGGGTTAAAACTGCATAGAAACCCACACTTGGAAATGTCACCGTACGCGACTAGGAGCGTTTCCCTATTACGACTTATTAAGAAGCACGCAAAGAAACAGTGCATAATCGGAAAGCGCCTCTAACGGCGTACGACGATATTTTCGGTTATGGGTTCCTATGCAATTTCAAACATGATGCGACCTAAATTTCCCATAAGTTTGTTGCAACATTTATGCCACCTCCTTTTACATATAACGGTTTTAAACTTTCACATTGCGACTAAAAATAGACAAAAACTAATTTTAAAAAGAACTGTAGCTTGGTGAAAGACAAACCGATTGCAGATTTGAATTCAGAGATACGAAGGAAATTTGACATCTGTTTAAAAATCTCATGCAACAATAGACAAATAAAGCTTTTCAAAAAGCATTTGTGAAAAGCTTCTAATTTAAAACTAAAGCGCAATCTCTTATCAGGTGGGAATTTTTTTTTTAATTTTTCTTNTATATATATATATATATATATATATATATATATATATATATATATATATATATATATATATATATATATATATATATATATATATATATATATATATATATATATATATATATATATATATATATATATATATATATATATATATATATATATATATATATATATATATATATATATATATATATATATATATATATATATATATATATATATATATATATATATATATATATATATATATATATATATATATATATATATATATATATATATATATATATATATATATATATATATATATATATATATATATATATATATATATATATATATATATATATATATATATATATATATATATATATATATATATATATATATATATATATATATATATATATATATATATATATATATATATATATATATATATATATTAAAAAAATACAGAGAGAGAGAGAGAGAGAAAAGACCAGTCATCCGAGCCATATGTTATTGATTTATTATCGGAGCCAATTTATAATGTGATGTCTAGCTATATGAATAGGAATTTTTTGTATAAACATAAAATAATATAAGTTTATTTTTAAAAAGCAATATCATTGATAGTATTGTAATATTTCAGAAACTTCTAAGACATTTATTTTTCGATGTAAAAACTTTTAAAAGCTCCAAAATGTAAAGATTTATTTTCTTCTTACCTGAAATACTCATATCGTTTCCACAATTTTTTCTACAGCATTTTGAAAGGTTAGATTTTAATCACGTCTTATTTATTCCAGATTATTTTCCTAGTCTGATGAAATCAGTTATACTATTCGATTTGTTGTGATCAATAGGGGAAAACGGGGTTTGTTCTTGCAAATAACAGTTGTAGCAAAACCAATTTTACTCCTCTTTCAACTCAACAACAGCTCAAACATTTTACAACCCACGCATATTGATATCATATTTTAAAAAATAGGAGTCACGTTTCCATTTCTAATTTATTTTAAATTCGGACTTTTATCGACATTTTTTGAACAGTTCTCAAATGATTGTTTTTGCTTTAAAGAAGGGAGGCCATACTATGTAATAATATTTAATAGCATTTTAAATTTCGTTAAAATATGAATGAATAACACATATGAAGAATTTTGCTTTCGTTGTCGGGAGATTTTTAAACAGATG